GTAGCAGTGGGGGGTAGCAGTGGGGGGTTGTAGTGGGGGGTAGTAGTGGGGGGGAGCAGTGGGGGGGTGCTCACCTCTTCTTATTGCGAGATTTCTCTTTCTTCCCTCGCCTGGGGCTATCGGACAGAGAGAGAGAGAGAGTCACACACACGTACACACACACACACGTACACACACACGTACACACACACACACACGTACACACACACGTACACACACACGTACACACACACGTACACACACACACACGTACACACACACACACGTACACACACACACACACGTACACACACACACACACGTACACACACACACGTACACACACACACATGTACACACACACACGTACACACACACACGTACACACACACACACGTACACACACACACACACACGTACACACACACACACGTACACACACACACACGTACACACACACACACGTACACACACACACGTACACACACACACACGTACACACACACGTACACACACACACGTACACACACACACACACACGTACACACACGTACACACACACACACACGTACACACACACACACACGTACACACACACATACACACACACACGTACACACACACACACATACACACACACACATACACACACGTACACACGTACACACACGTACACACGTACACACACACACACACACGTACACGCACACACACACGCACACACACACGTACACGCACACACGTACACGCACACACGTACACGCACACGTACACACACACACACGTACACACACACACGTACACACGTACACACACGTACACACGTACACACACACACGTACACACACACGTACACACACACACGTACACATACACACACACGTACACAACAACAACAACCGCCATACGCCACTAAGTGGCGGTGACGTCACCACGACGCCTGTGCCAGGCTATGTGCACCGTGAGGCCACGTGAAGTGTCGAACGCCCGCTGGCAGGAGGTCACTGGGCAGACCCAGGTGCCACGGGTCGACTGACTGAGATGACTGGCTGATGCACCACCTGTGCCCCCTACTGTGCCAACCTGCTGTGCTTTAGCCACCCGGCGCTCCGCTCGTTGTTGTGAGCGTCGCTCCTCCGCCCTCCGTTGTTGTTGGAGGGCGACTGCCTCCAACTGACCAGTAGCATCCTTCACGAGCCTCCTCCACAGAGGCCGATCTTGACACCGCTGGTACCAGTCATCGGCAAGTCCACTCAGCTCCACGTCCTCCTGTACCACATCACTCCATCTCTTCTCTAGCCCGTGCCGCGCCCGCTTAGCCCCCTCAATCCGGCCAAACAAAAGCTGTTTCGGCATGCGGTGGCTGGGCATGCGAGCTACATAACCCAGCCATCGCAGCCTTGCCTGCCGGAGGAGCTCACCGATGGGACCCTGCCCAGATCTTTCAAGGATTTGTGAGCTCCTCACACAATCCAGTCTGGTTAAACCCAGGATGGATCGTAGGCAGGCCAGCCTAAATGTTTCTAACCGGCGAAGATGTTCCATTAGGGGGGTCCACGTTTCGCAAGCGTAGAGAAGGGAGGGAATGACCGTGGCCGAGAAGACCTGAAGCTTAGTGCGGAGCGACAGACCAGGTAGCTTCCACACAGCGTTACGCAACCGATGAAAAGATATTGCCGCTCGACTGATTCGGAGTGAGACCTCTGCTGTTAAACTGGAGCCAGTCATAAGCACACTGCCCAGGTATGGGAAACTCTCCACTCTCTCCACAACTGCCCCATCACCGATTGGGAGTTGTGGGGGTGGAGTGTCCGATGGTACAAAATACCCAGGCAGGTGCTTAGTTTTGGTGGGGCTGATGGTAAGGCCCCACCTCTTAGTGGCACGCTCCAGTCTCAGCAGCAGCGTCTCCAACTCCTCCTCTGACTGAGCAGCTATTACCAAATCATCAGCATACATAACGTGGTTGAGCAATAGGGAGCCATCCCTTGACCGCACCCGGGCATCGATTAGCCTCCCATTATATCTGTACCATATGGAGATTCCCCCGGTACAGCTATTGAAGGCTTCACGAACTACGTGGTCAAAATAGATGTTAAATAATGTGGGAGCCAGAGGACATCCCTGTCGCACCCCAAGGTGTACAGGGAATGGCTCTGACTCCTGGCCACGTAGTTTTACCCGGGCCCGCTCACCATCATGAAGGTCCTTAATGATCGTGAGCAGAGGGTCAGGTACTCCAAAAGCACGAAGAACGACCCAGAGCCCAGGCCTACTGATGGTATCATAGGCCTTGACCAGGTCAATAAAGCAGAGATGTAGGTCTTGTTGGAATTCCCTACACCTCTGCTGTAGCAGACGGACAGAAAATATGGCATCTGTGCAGGACCGCCCTTTCCTGAAACCGCATTGGGGCTCCGCAAGCCTCTCCTCAGCGTGCCTGGCAAGGCGATGCTGAATAATCCTTGCCAGGACCTTTCCCGGCACACTGAGGAGTGAGATGCCCCTGTAGTTGTTACAGTCTGTGCGGTCCCCCTTCTTAAAAAGGGGGACCACCAGGGCATCCTTCCAATCCTGCGGAACCCGTCCAGTGGTCCAGACTGTTGTTATGATGTCATATAGGGCAGGCTGTGCACAAACGCCACCCTCCCTCAGCATTTCGCTTGGGAGATCATCTCTGCCCGCTGCCTTTCCTGGTCTCAGACTCCGGATCGCCTTCAATACTTCCTCAGCAGATGGCACCTCAGCCAGCCACTCACAGGGGGTGACTTTTTTCCAATATTTGAGGCACCGCAGCCTCAGCAGGGTCATCCTCACTTTGTGCCACGATGTTTTCCTGGCTGAGGGATTTTCCCTCCCGCAGGACCTCACAGAAATGCTCAGCAAATCTGCAAACCTGTTCCTGGGGGTCGGAGATTGGATCACCGTTTTTTCCCCTAATGATGGTAATAGGTGTGGCGCTGCAGGTTACCTTTTTGATGGAGTTAAATAGAGATTTGTGATCACGGGCCACTGAGGCAGACTCCATCTCCTCAGCAACCCGCGACCACCACCCATCCTTGCAGCGCCTCACGGCTCTCCGAACCTCCGAGCGAAGGCTGCGGTAAGCCTCCTCATTCTCTGACGTGGGATTCTGTAGCCGATGACAGTGGGCCTGTCGCTTTTTCTCAACCATCCTGAACACCTCCTCTGTCAGCCAGGGTGTCTGGGGAGGTCTGGACCGCATACCCAAAGCAGCCATTGCAGCTGCATGAGTCACAGTCCTAAACCTCGCCCATTTACCCTCGACATCAGGAGGAGTCGGGGACGATGCCAATCCCAGCCGCAAGCGATGATGAAATTCTCGCTTGCAACTTTCATCAAATAACTGAGACCAGGCCACTTTAGGTTGGAATGGGGTCCTGGGTGTACACCCACCACCGGAGTGGAAGAATGGCAGGCGCATCTTACAGATGACTAGTCGATGGTCAGAGGGCAGACGTGAACACACACACGTACACACACGTGAACACACACACACGTACACATGTACACACACGTACGCACACACACACACGTACACACACACGTGCACACAAACACGCGCACACACACGCACGTACGTACACACACACGTACACGCGCACACACACGTACATGCGCACACACACACACACACACGTACACGCGTACACACACACACGTGAACACACACACGTACACACACGTACACACACAACAACAACAACAACCGCCATTCGCCACTAAGTGGCGGTGACGTCACCACGACGCTTGTGCCAGGCTATGTGCACCCTGAGGCCACGTGAAGTGTCGAACGCCCGCTGGCAGGAGGTCACGGGGCAGACCCAGGTGCCACGGGTCGACTGACTGAGATGACTGGCTGATGCACCACCTGTGCCCCCTACTGTGCCAACCTGCTGTGCTTTAGCCACCCGGCGCTCCGCTCGCTGTTGTGAGCGTCGCTCCTCCGCCCTCCGTTGTTGTTGGAGGGCGACTGCCTCCAACTGACCAGTAGCATCCTTCACGAGCCTCCTCCACAGAGGCCGATCTTGACACCGCTGGTACCAGTCATCGGCAAGTCCACTCAGCTCCACGTCCTCCTGTACCACATCACTCCATCTCTTCTCTAGCCCGTGCCGCGCCCGCTTAGCCCCCTCAATCCGGCCAAACAAAAGCTGTTTCGGCATGCGGTGGCTGGGCATGCGGGCTACATGACCCAGCCATCGCAGCCTTGCCTGCCGGAGGAGCTCACCGATGGGACCCTGCCCAGATCTTTCAAGGATTTGTGAGCTCCTCACACAATCCAGTCTGGTTAAACCCAGGATGGATCGTAGGCAGGCCAGCCTAAATGTTTCTAACCGGCGAAGATGTTCCATTAGGGGGGTCCACGTTTCGCAAGCGTAGAGAAGGGAGGGAATGACCGTGGCCGAGAAGACCTGAAGCTTAGTGCGGAGCGACAGACCAGGTAGCTTCCACACAGCGTTACGCAACCGATGAAAAGATATTGCCGCTCGACTGATTCGGAGTGAGACCTCTGCTGTTAAACTGGAGCCAGTCATAAGCACACTGCCCAGGTATGGGAAACTCTCCACTCTCTCCACAACTGCCCCATCACCGATTGGGAGTTGTGGGGGTGGAGTGTCGGATGGTACAAAATACCCAGGCAGGTGCTTAGTTTTGGTGGGGCTGATGGTAAGGCCCCACCTCTTAGTGGCACGCTCCAGTCTCAGCAGCAGCGTCTCCAACTCCTCCTCTGACTGAGCAGCTATTACCAAGTCATCAGCATACATAACGTGGTTGAGCAATAGGGAGCCATCCCTTGACCGCACTCGGGCATCGATTAGCCTCCCATTATATCTGTACCATATGGAGATTCCCCCGGTACAGCTATTGAAGGCTTCACGAACTACGTGGTCAAAATAGATGTTAAATAATGTGGGAGCCAGAGGACATCCCTGTCGCACCCCAAGGTGTACAGGGAATGGCTCTGACTCCCGGCCACGTAGTTTTACCCGGGCCCGCTCACCATCATGAAGGTCCTTAATGATCGTGAGCAGAGGGTCAGGTACTCCAAAAGCACGAAGAACGACCCAGAGCCCAGGCCTACTGATGGTATCATAGGCCTTGACCAGGTCAATAAAGCAGAGATGTAGGTCTTGTTGGAATTCCCTACACCTCTGCTGTAGCAGACGGACTGAAAATATGGCATCTGTGCAGGACCGCCCTTTCCTGAAACCGCATTGGGGCTCCGCAAGCCTCTCCTCAGCGTGCCTGGCAAGGCGATGCTGAATAATCCTTGCCAGGACCTTTCCCGGCACACTGAGGAGTGAGATGCCCCTGTAGTTGTTACAGTCTGTGCGGTCCCCCTTCTTAAAAAGGGGGACCACCAGGGCATCCTTCCAATCCTGCGGAACCCGTCCAGTGGTCCAGACTGTTGTTATGATGTCATATAGGGCAGTCTGTGCACAAACGCCACCCTCCCTCAGCATTTCGCTTGGGAGATCATCTCTGCCCGCTGCCTTTCCTGGTCTCAGACTCCGGATCGCCTTCAATACTTCATCAGCAGCTGGCACCTCAGCCAGCCACTCACAGGGGGTGACTTCATCCAATATTTGAGGCACCGCAGCCTCAGCAGGGTCATCCTCACTTTGTGCCACGATGTTTTCCTGGCTGAGGGAGTTTCCCTCCCCCAGGACCTCACAGAAATGCTCAGCAAATCTGCGAACCTGTTATTGGGGGTCGGAAATTGGATCACCGTTTTTTCCCCTAATGATGGTAATAGGTGTGGCGCTGCAGGTTACTTTTTTGATGGAGTTAAATAGAGATTTGTGATCACGGGCCACTGAGGCAGACTCCATCTCCTCAGCAACCCGCGACCACCACCCATCCTTGCAGCGCCTCACGGCTCTCCGAACCTCCGAGCGAAGGCTGCGGTAAGCCTCCTCATTCTCTGACGTGGGATTCTGTAGCCGATGACAGTGGGCCTGTCGCTTTTTCTCAACCATCCTGAACAACTCCTCTGTCATCCAGGGTGTCTGGGGAGGTCTGGACTGCGTACCCAAAGCAGCCATTGCAGCTGCATGAGTCACAGTCCTAAACCTCGCCCATTTACCCTCGACATCAGGAGGAGTCGGGGACGATGCCAATCCCAGCCGCAAGCGATGATGAAATTCTCGCTTGCAACTTTCATCAGATAACTGAGACCAGGCCACTTTAGGTTGGAATGGGGTCCTGGGTGTACACCCACCACCGGAGTGGAAGAATGGCAGGCGCATCTTACAGATGACTAGTCGGTGGTCAGAGGGCAGATCAGCTCCACGGTAGGTCCTGGTGTCAAGGACATGGGCTCGCATTCGCTGGTCCGTCACTATGTAGTCCAGCAGATGTTCTTGCTTGGACCCGGCATGCATCCATGATGTTGTGTGGATGCGCCGATGCCGGAACAGCGTGTTGGTAATTACAAGCCCATGGGCTGCACAAAAATCTAGCAGCCTCCTACCGTTGTTATTGAGCTGATCTGGCCCATGCCCTCCAATCACTCCAGACCAGGTGCCAGTATCATGACCAACTCGGGCATTGAAGTCACCCAACATGATGACTCTATCCCGAGGGGCCACTTTAGCCAGCACCTGTGACAGGAGGTCATAGAAGGCATCTGACTCATCGGCTTTGCCTGCATCCCTCCACGGATGTTCATCTTCGGTGGGGGCATAAGTAACCACGACCACCATTCCTCGCCTCCGGTTGATGGGAAGGCGAGCCCAAAGTAGCCTGGGGCTTACAGCTTCCCACACCTCACCGCCACGCTCCCACGCCCCCTTCATTCTTTTGTTCAAAAGAAGACGCACACCCTGTTGTTTGGCAGTCTGCTGCCCCGAGTAGAGGACTGTCCACCCCTCATGGTGGCAGGAGCCAGAGCCGGTCCACCGGACCTCCTGAATGCCGCATAGATCCAGGCGGTACCGGTCCAGCTCCCGACAGAGGAGTGGCAGCCTCTCCTCTGCAGTGAGCGTTCGAACATTCCACGTGGCCACCCGTAGTGGCTTTTCGTTGTTTCTGGAGTAGCCCCGAGGGTAGGTATTCAATCTCCTGGCTCCGCCAATTGGGGTTTGGCCAGGAGACGTCATAGACGCCTGGCCCCCCGGGGCCTCCGGCACAAGCTTAGTTGTTACATATTTCAGTTTAATTCGTAGTTTCGTGGTAATTAATTGAAGGTGGAGGGGTTACCAGCCCCTCGCACCCGTCCAGAGCCCCCGTTTAGCCCCTGTGGTGGACACATATGCCATGAGGGGAGGAGCCAATCAAAATTGGATCTCCCCCCACAGCGCTGTCCACGACAGAGTTGCCCGTCCGGCACCGCGAGGAGGTAGGGGGTTGTTTTGTACACACACACACACACGTACACACGTACACACACACACACGTACACACGTACACACACACACACGTGAACACACGTACACACACACGTACACACACGTGAACACACACACACACGTGAACACACACACACATACACGTACACACACACGTGAACACACGTACATACACACACACGTACACACACGTACACACACGTACACACACACGTACACACACACGTACACACAGACACACGCACACACAGACAGACACCCAACCTGTCGCGTCGCCGTTTCCTGGACCCCTTCTTCCTCTTCCTGTCCCGGCGTGCGGGGGAGTCACCACCAGCCTCAGTGGGACCCCTGAGCACACACGAGGGGTGGGGGTGGGGGAAGGCAGAGATGTTGACTACCTCGCCTGGTATACAGGAAGTCGTGGGTTCGATTACCCTGAGAGATGTTGACTACCTCGCCTGGTCTCCAGGAGGTCGTGGGTTCGATCTCAAGACCCTGGGAGATGTTGACTACCTCGCCTGGTCTGCAGGAGGTCGTGGGTTCAATCTCAAGACCCTGGGAGATGTTGACTACCTCGCCTGGTCTGCAGGAGGTCGTGGGTCCCATCCAGACACTGGGAGATGTTGACTACCTCGCCTGGTATACAGGAGGTCGTGGGTTCGATTACCCTGAGAGATGTTGACTACCTCGCCTGGTCTACAGGAGGTCGTGGGTTCGATTACCCTGAGAGATGTTGAATACCTCGCCTGGTATACAGGAGGTCCCGTGGGATCAATTACCCTGAGAGATGTTGACTTCCTCGCCTGGTCTCCAGGAGGTCGTGGGTTCGATTAGCCTGAGAGATGTTGACTACCTCGCCTGGTCTCCAGGAGGTCGTGGGTTCGATCACAACCCTGGGAGATGTTGACTACCTCGCCTGGTCTACAGGAGGTCGTGGGTTCGATTACCCTGAGAGATGTTGACTACCTCGCCTGGTCTACAGGAGGTCGTGGGTTCGATCACAACCCTGGGAGATGTTGACTACCTCGCCTGGTCTACAGGAGGTCGTGGGTTCGATCACAACCCTGGGAGATGTTGACTACTTCGCCTGGTTTCTGTGGTGTCTCTGTGGGTCTCTGTGTGGGTCTCTGTGTGGGTCTCTGTGTGGGTCTCTGTGTGGGTCTCTGTGTGGGTCTCTGTGTGGGTCTCTGTGTGGGTCTCTGTGTGGGTCTCTGTGTGGGTCTCTGTGTGGGTCTCTGTGTGGGTCTCTGTGTGGGTCTCTGTGTGGGTCTCTGTGTGGGTCTCTGTGTGGGTCTCTGTGTGGGTCTCTGTGTGTGTGTCTCTGTGTGTGTGTCTCTGTGTGGGTCTCTGTGTACAGGAGGTCGTGGGTTCGATCACAACCCTGGGAGATGTTGACTACTTCGCCTGGTTTCTGTGGTGTCTCTGTGGGTCTCTGTGTGGGTCTCTGTGTGGGTCTCTGTGTGGGTCTCTGTGTGGGTCTCTGTGTGGGTCTCTGTGTGGGTCTCTGTGTGGGTCTCTGTGTGGGTCTCTGTGTGGGTCTCTGTGTGGGTCTCTGTGTGGGTCTCTGTGTGGGTCTCTGTGTGGGTCTCTGTGTGGGTCTCTGTGTGGGTCTCTGTGTGGGTCTCTGTGTGGGTCTCTGTGTGTGTGTCTCTGTGTGTGTCTCTGTGTGTGTCTCTGTGTGGGTCTCTGTGTGGGTCTCTGTGTGGGTCTCTGTGTGGGTCTCTGTGTGTGTCTCTGTGTGGGTCTCTGTGTGGGTCTCTGTGTGGGTCTCTGTGTGGGTCTCTGTGTGGGTCTCTGTGTGTGGGTCTCTGTGTGGGTCTCTGTGTGGGTCTCTGTGTGGGTCTCTGTGTGTGTCTCTGTGTGTGTCTCTGTGTGGGTCTCTGTGTGGGTCTCTGTGTGGGTCTCTGTGTGTGTCTCTGTGTGTGTCTCTGTGTGTGTGTCTCTGTGTGGGTCTCTGTGTGTGTCTCTGTGTGTGTCTGTGTGTGTGTGTGTCTCTGTGTGTGTGTGTCTCTGTGTGTGTCTCTGTGTGTGTCTCTGTGTGGGTCTCTGTGTGGGTCTCTGTGTGGGTCTCTGTGTGGGTCTCTGTGTGTGTCTCTGTGTGGGTCTCTGTGTGGGTCTCTGTGTGGGTCTCTGTGTGGGTCTCTGTGTGGGTCTCTGTGTGTGGGTCTCTGTGTGGGTCTCTGTGTGGGTCTCTGTGTGGGTCTCTGTGTGTGTCTCTGTGTGTGTCTCTGTGTGGGTCTCTGTGTGGGTCTCTGTGTGGGTCTCTGTGTGTGTCTCTGTGTGTGTCTCTGTGTGTGTGTCTCTGTGTGGGTCTCTGTGTGTGTCTCTGTGTGTGTCTGTGTGTGTGTGTGTCTCTGTGTGTGTGTGTCTCTGTGTGTGTCTCTGTGTGTGTCTCTGTGTGGGTCTCTGTGTGTGTCTCTGTGTGGGTCTCTGTGTGTGTCTCTGTGTGGGTCTCTGTGTGGGTCTCTGTGTGGGTCTCTGTGTGGGTCTCTGTGTGGGTCTCTGTGTGGGTCTCTGTGTGGGTCTCTGTGTGGGTCTCTGTGTGGGTCTCTGTGTGGGTCTCTGTGTGGGTCTCTGTGGTGAGTGAGGGTGAGCATGAGGGTGAGCGTGAGGGTGAGCGTGAGGGTGAGGGTGAGCGTGAGGGTGAGCGCTCACCGTGACGAGTGTGCAAGTGGTGGTGAGCGTGAGGGTGAGCGTGGTGAGGGTGAGCGTGAGGGTGAGCGTGAGGGCTCACTGTGACGAGTGTGTGAGTGGTGAGTGTGGTGGTGAGTGGTGAGTGCTCACCGTGGTCAGTGGTGAGCGTGGTGACTCACCGTGACGAGTGTGTGAGTGGTGAGCGTGGTGAGTGTGGTGGTGAGTACTCACCGTGACGAGTGTGGTGGTGAGTGTGGTGGTGAGCGTGGTGAGTGGTGAGTGCTCACCGTGACGAGTGTGTGAGTGGTGAGTGTGGTGGTGAGAGTGGTGGTGAGTGTGAGTGGTGAGCGTGGTGAGTACTCACCGTGAGGAGTGTGTGAGTGGTGAGCGTGGTGAGTGTGGTGGTGAGTGGTGAGTGCTCACCGTGACGAGTGTGGTGGTGGTGAGAGTGGTGGTGAGTGTGGTGGTGAGTGTGGTGGTGAGTGTGGTGGTGAGTGGTGAGTGTGGTGGTGAGTGGTGAGTGTGGTGGTGAGTGTGGTGGTGAGTGGTGAGTGTGGTGGTGAGTGGTGAGTGTGGTGGTGAGTGTGAGTGGTGAGTACTCACCGTGATGAGTGTGGTGAGTGTGAGTGGTGAGTGTGGTGGTGAGTGTGTTGGTGAGTGTGGTGGTGAGTGGTGAGTGTGGTGGTGAGTGGTGAGTGTGGTGGTGAGTGTGAGTGGTGAGTGCTCACCGTGACGAGTGTGTGAGTGGTGAGTGTGGTGGTGGTGAGTGTGTTGGTGAGTGTGGTGGTGAGTGGTGAGTGTGGTGGTGAGTGGTGAGTGTGGTGGTGAGTGTGTTGGTGAGTGCTCACCGTGACGAGTGTGTGAGTGGTGAGTGTGGTGGTGAGTGTTGGTGAGTACTCACCGTGACGAGTGTGGTGGTGAGTGGTGAGTGTGGTGGTGGTGAGTGTGTTGGTGAGTGCTCACCGTAATGAGTGTGGTGAGTGTGGTGAGTGTGAGTGGTGAGTGTGAGTGGTGAGTGGTGGTGAGTGGTGAGTGTGAGTGGTGAGTGGTGGTGAGTGGTGAGTGTGAGTGGTGATTGTGAGTGGTGAGTGTGGTGGTGAGTGCTCACCGTGATGAGTGTGGTGAGTGGTGAGTGGTGAGTGTGGTGGTGAGTGGTGAGTGTGAGTGGTGAGTGTGGTGGTGAGTGGTGGTGAGTGGTGAGTGTGGTGGTGAGTGGTGAGTGTGGTGGTGAGTGGTGAGTGTGAGTGGTGAGTGTGAGTGGTGAGTGCTCACCGTGACGAGTGTGTGAGTGGTGAGTGTGGTGGTGGTGAGTGTTGGTGAGTGTGGTGAGTGGTGAGTGTGGTGGTGAGTGGTGAGTGTGAGTGGTGAGTGTGGTGGTGAGTGGTGGTGAGTACTCACCGTGACGAGTGTGTGAGTGGTGAGCGTGGTGAGCGTGGTGAGTGTGGTGGTGAGTGGTGAGTGGTGAGTGCTCACCGTGACAAGTGTGGTGGTGGTGAGAGTGGTGGTGAGTGTGGTGGTGAGTGTGGTGGTGAGTGGTGAGTGTGGTGGTGAGTGGTGAGTGTGGTGGTGAGTGTGGTGGTGAGTGGTGAGTGTGGTGGTGAGTGGTGAGTGTGGTGGTGAGTGGTGAGTGTGGTGGTGAGTGCTCACCGTGATGAGTGTGGTGAGTGGTGAGTGTGGTGGTGAGTGGTGAGTGTGAGTGGTGAGTGTGGTGGTGAGTGGTGGTGAGTGGTGAGTGTGGTGGTGAGTGGTGAGTGTGGTGGTGAGTGGTGAGTGTGGTGGTGAGTGTGAGTGGTGAGTGCTCACCGTGACGAGTGTGTGAGTGGTGAGTGTGGTGGTGAGTGGTGAGTGTGAGTGGTGAGTGTGGTGGTGAGTGGTGAGTGTGAGTGGTGAGTGTGGTGGTGAGTGGTGGTGAGTGGTGGTGAGTGGTGAGTGTGGTGGTGAGTGGTGAGTGTGGTGGTGAGTGGTGAGTGTGAGTGGTGAGTGTGGTGGTGAGTGGTGGTGAGTGTTGGTGAGTGTGGTGGTGAGTGTGAGTGGTGAGTACTCACCGTGACAAGTGTGTGAGTGGTGAGTGTGAGTGGTGAGTGTGAGTGGTGAGTGTGAGTGGTGAGTACTCACCGTGACAAGTGTGTGAGTGGTGAGTGTGAGTGGTGAGTGTGAGTGGTGAGTGTTGGTGAGTGCTCACCGTGACAAGTGTGCCGTCTTCTTCTTCCTCTTGGCCCGAGCCGACGGCGACGTCGCTGAGCGGAGCTGTGGGGGGCGCGAAGACTCCACACTGTGGGGGGAAGGTGGGGGGAAGGTGGGGGGCAGGTGGGGGGGGGGGGGGGGGGGGGGGGCAGGTGGGGGGGGGAAGGTGGGGGGGGGAGGGTGGTAGAGTCAACGACGGAGGTAAGCAGCACATCCACCTACCCACCAACCCACCCACCCACTCACCCACCCACCCACCAACTCACCCAACCACCCAAACACCCACCCACCCAACCACCCACCGACCGACTCAACCACCCACCCACCGACCCACCCACCCAACCACCCACCCACCGACCCACCCAACCACCCACCGACCCACTCAACCACCCACCCACACAATCACCGACCCACTCAACCACCCACCCAACCACCCACCGACCCACTCAACCACCCACCCACACAATCACCGACCCACTCAACCACCCACCCACCCACACAACCACCCACCCACCGACCCACCCACCGACCCACCCACCCACCCACCCACCGACCCACCCACCGACCCCCCCACCCACCCACCGACCCACCCACCGACCCACCCACCGACCCACCCACCGACCCACCCACCCCTGCTGCTGCTGCTGCTGCTGACGGTGTTGTGGGTGGAAGGAGCTGCCGTCCACGTAGCCGGCGCTGATGCCAAACGCCTCACGGAGTTTCTCGTTCTTACGCTCCGTCGCCTCCGCAAGCTGGTGAGTCTCCTTGGCTCTGACTCACACACGGGGTGAGAGAGGGGTGGTGAGTCTCCTTGGCTCTGACTCACACACACAGTGAGTGAGAGGTGGTGAGTCTCACTCACACACACGGTGAGAGAGAGAGGTGGTGAGTCTCCTTGGCTCTGACTCACACACGGGGTGAGAGAGGGGTGGTGAGTCTCACTCACTCACACACACGGGGTGAGAGAGAGGTGGTGAGTCTCCTTGGCTCTGACTCACACACACGGTGAGGGAGAGAGAGGGCTGGTGAGTCTCCTTGGCTCTGACTCACACACACGGTGAGGGAGAGAGAGGGCTGGTGAGTCTCCTTGGCTCTGACTCACACACACGGTGAGAGAGAGAGGTGGTGAGTCTCCTTGGCTCTGACTCACACACAGGGTGAGAGAGAGAGGTGGTGAGTCTCCTTGGCTCTGACTCACACACGGGGTGAGAGAGGGGTGGTGAGTCTCCTTGGCTCTGACTCACACACACAGTGAGTGAGAGGGGTGGTGGTGAGTCTCACTCACACACACGGTGAGGGTGGTGGTGAGTCTCCTTGGCTCTGACTCACACACACGGTGAGTGGGGTGGTGGTGAGTCTCACTCACACACACGGTGAGGGTGGTGGTGAGTCTCCTTGGCTCTGACTCACACACACGGGGAGAGAGAGGTGGTGAGTCTCCTTGGCTCTGACTCACACACACGGGGAGAGAGAGAGGTGGTGAGTCTCACTCACACGGTGAGAGTTGTGGTGAGTCTCCTTGGCTCTGACTCACACACACGGGGAGAGAGAGAGGTGGTGAGTCTCACTCACACACACAGTGAGTGAGAGAGGTGGTGAGTCTCACTCGCTCTGACTCACACACACAGTGGGAGAGAGAGGTGGTGAGTCTCACTCACACACACGGTGAGAGGAGTGGTGAGTCTCACTCACACACACGGTGAGTGAGAGAGGTGGTGAGTCTCCTTGGCTCTGACTCACACACACAGGGAGAGAGAGAGGTGGTGAGTCTCCTTGGCTCTGACTCACACACACGGTGAGAGAGAGGGGTGGTGAGTCTCACTCACACACACGGTGAGAGAGAGAGGTGGTGAGTCTCCTTGGCTCTGACTCGCACACACGGTGAGGGAGAGAGAGGTGGTGAGTCTCCTTGGCTCTGACTCACACACACAGGGAGAGAGAGAGGTGGTGAGTCTCACACACATGGTGAGAGAGAGAGAGAGGTGGTGAGTCTCCTTGGCTCTGACTCACACACACGGTGAGAGAGAGGGGTGGTGAGTCTCACACACATGGTGAGAGAGAGAGAGAGGTGGTGAGTCTCCTTGGCTCTGACTCACACACACGGTGAGGGAGAGAGAGGGCTGGTGAGTCTCCTTGGCTCTGACTCACACACACGGTGAGGGAGAGAGAGGTGGTGAGTCTCCTTGGCTCTGACTCACACACACGGTGAGGGAGAGAGTGGTGGTGAGTCTCCTTGGCTCTGACTCACACACAGGGTGAGAGAGAGGTGGTGAGTCTCACTCACACACAGGGTGAGGGAGAGAGAGGGCTGGTGAGTCTCACTCACACACACGGTGAGGGTGGTGGTGAGTCTCCTTGGCTCTGACTCACACACGGGGTGAGAGAGAGGTGGTGAGTCTCCTTGGCTCTGACTCACACACAGGGTGAGGGTGGTGGTGAGTCTCCTTGGCTCTGACTCACACGGTGAGAGGGGTGGTGAGTCTCACTCACACACACAGTGAGAGTGGTGGTGAGTCTCCTTGGCTCTGACTCACACACAGGGTGAGGGAGAGAGAGGGCTGGTGAGTCTCCTTGGCTCTGACTCACACACACGGGGAGAGAGAGAGGTGGTGAGTCTCCTTGGCTCTGACTCACACACACGGGGAGAGGGGTGGTGGTGAGTCTCACTCACACACACGGTGAGAGAGGTGGTGAGTCTCACTCACACACACGGTGAGAGAGAGAGGTGGTGAGTCTCACTCACACACACGGTGAGGGAGAGAGGTGGTGAGTCTCCTTGGCTCTGACTCACACACACGGTGAGAGAGAGGTGGTGAGTCTCACTCACACACACAGTGAGAGAGAGAGAGGTGGTGAGTCTCCTTGGCTCTGACTCACACACACAGTGAGTGAGAGGTGGTGAGTCTCACTCACACACACGGTGAGAGAGAGAGGTGGTGAGTCTCACTCACACACACAGTGAGAGGGGTGGTGAGTCTCACTCACACACACGGTGAGAGAGAGAGAGGGCTGGTGAGTCTCCTTGGCTCTGACTCACACACACGGTGAGAGGGGTGGTGAGTCTCACTCACACACACGGGGAGAGAGATAGAGAGGGGTGGTGAGTCTCCTTGGCTCTGACTCACACACACGGTGAGAGAGAGAGAGGTGGTGAGTCTCACTCACACACACGGTGAGGGGGGTGGTGAGTCTCACTCACACACACGGTGAGAGAGAGAGGGCTGGTGAGTCTCCTTGGCTCTGACTCACACACACGGTGAGGGAGTGAGAGAGGTGGTGAGTCTCACTCACACACACGGTGAGAGAGAGAGAGGTGGTGAGTCTCCTTGGCTCTGACTCACACACACGGTGAGTGAGTGGTGGTGAGTCTCACTCGCTCTGACTCACACACACGGTGAGTGAGAGGTGGTGAGTCTCACTCGCTCTGACTCACACACACGGTGAGAGAGAGAGAGGGGTGGTGTGTCTCCTTGGCTCTGACACACACACACGGTGAGTGAGAGGTGGTGAGTCTCCTTGGCTCTGACTCACACACACGGGGAGAGAGCGGGGTGGTGAGTCTCACTCACACACACAGTGAGAGGGGTGGTGAGTCTCACTCACACACACGGTGAGTGAGAGAGAGTGAGGGCTGGTGAGTCTCCTTGGCTCTGACTCACACACACGGTGAGAGAGAGAGGGCTGGTGAGTCTCCTTGGCTCTGACTCACACACACGGTGAGAGAGAGAGGTGGTGAGTCTCCTTGGCTCTGACTCACACACACGGTGAGAGAGAGAGGTGGTGAGTCTCACTCGCTCTGACTCACACACACGGTGAGAGAGAGGTGGTGAGTCTCACTCACACACACGGTGAGAGAGAGCGGTGGTGAGTCTCACTCGCTCTGACTCACACACACGGTGAGAAATAGGTGGTGGTGAGTCTCACTCACACACACGGTGAGAGAGAGGTGGTGGTGAGTCTCACTCACACACACGGTGAGAGAGAGGTGGTGGTGAGTCTCACTCACACACGGTGAGAGAGAGAGAGAGGTGGTGAGTCTCACTCGCTCTGACTCACACACACGGTGAGGGAGAGAGAGGTGGTGAGTCTCACTCACACACACGGTGAGGGAGAGGTGGTGAGTCTCACTCGCTCTGACTCACACACACGGTGAGGGAGAGAGAGAGAGGGCTGGTGAGTCTCACTCACACACACGGTGAGAGAGAGGTGGTGAGTCTCACTCACACACACGGTGAGAGAGAGGTGGTGAGTCTCACTCACACACACGGTGAGAGAGAGGTGGTGAGTCTCACTCACACACACGGTGAGAGAGAGGTGGTGGTGAGTCTCACTCACACACACGGTGAGAGAGAGGTGGTGAGTTTGACTCACACACACGGTGAGAGAGAGGTGGTGGTGAGTCTCACTCACACACACGGTGAGAGAGAGGTGGTGGTGAGTCTCACTCACACACATGGTGAGAGTGAGGTGGTGAGTCAGACTCGCTCCGACTCACACCAACACACACGGGGTGGGGGGGTTAGAGACGAGTTTGTAATTGGCCTACTTCTCCTCCACGGCATTTGCTCGCATCCAGCACAGCATTGCCGTCCGGCACCAACGCGGGAGGGTAGGGAGGTGCTTCTGCCCAGGGCGCCATTGGCATCACCACCATCACCACCATCACCACCATCACCATCACCACTACCACCACCACCACCATCACCACCATCACCACCATCACTACTACCACCACCACCACCACCATCATCACCACCATCACTACTACCACCATCACCACCATCACCATCATCACCATCACTACTACCACCACCACCACCATCACCACCATCACCATCACTACTACCACCACCATCACCACCATCACCATCATCACCACCATCACCACCATCACTACTACCACCACCATCACCATCATCACTACTACCACCATCACTACCACCACCACCATCACCACCATCACCACCATCACCATCACTACTACCTCCACCACCAACAACACCATCACCACCACCACCATCACTACCACCACCAACACCACCATCACCACCACCATCACTACTACCACCACCACCATCACTACTACCACCACCACCATCACTACTACCACCACCACCATCACTACCACCACCACCATCACCAACAACACCACCACCACCATCACCAACAACACCACCATCACCACCATCAATCACCACCATCACCATCACTACTACCACCATCACTACTACCAACACCACCACCACCATCACCACCATCACCATCATCACCACCATCACTATCACTACTACCACCACCACCACGATCACTACCACCACCATCACCATCACTACTACCACCAACACCACCATCACTACTACCACCACCGCCACCATCGCCGCCACCACCACCATCACTGCCACCACCACCGCCACCATCACCACCACCATCACCACCACCATCACCACCACCACCATCACCGCCACCGCCGTCACCGCCGTCACCGCTACCATCACCATCACCGCCATCACCATCACCACCACCATCACCATCACCGCCATCACCATCACCACCACCATCACCATCACCGCCATCACCATCACCGCCACCACCATCACCGCCACCACCATCACCGCCACCATCATCACCGCCACCATCATCACCGCCACCATCATCACCGCCACCATCACCACCACCACCACCGCCACCACCACCATCACCACCACTACCACCACCACCACCATCACCACCACCATCACCACCACCATTATCACCACCACCACCACCGCCACCACCACCACCACCGCCACCACCACCACCACCACCACTCACATGGGCCGTCCCTGTGCGTCCATCTGGAGTCCGCCTTCCGCCCCCTGCTGCTCCTCCTGCTCCATGAGCAGCTGCCGGTAGCTGCTCACCTTCTCACGAGTCTCAGCAGCGTCCACCCTGAGGTGAGCGGCACAGAGAGACAGAGTGGGTGGTGAGTGGGTGGTGAGTGGGTGGTGAGTGGGTGGTGAGTGGGTGGTGAGTGGGAGAGTGAATGTGGGGTGAGTGGCGTGAGTGGGGGGGTGAGTGGGGGAGTGAGTGGGTGAGTGAATGTGGGGTGAGCAGGGGGGTGAGTGGGTGGTGAGTGGGAGAGTGAATGAGTGGTGAGCGGGGGGGTGAGTGGGTGGTGAGTGGGAGAGTGAATGAGTGGTGAGCGGGGGGGTGAGTGGGTGGTGAGTGGGGGAGTGAGTGGGAGAGTGAATGAGTGGTGAGCGGGGGGGTGAGTGGGTGGTGAGTGGGAGAGTGAATGTGGGGTGAGCGGGGGGGTGAGTGGGGGAGTGAGTGGGTGGTGAGTGGGAGAATGATTGTGGGGTGAGCGGGGGGGTGAGTGGGTGGTGAGTGGGTGGTGAGTGGGAGAGTGAATGAGTGGTGAGCGGGGGGGTGAGTGGGTGGTGAGTGGGAGAGTGAATGAGTGGTGAGCGGGGGGGTGAGTGGGTGGTGAGTGGGAGAGTGAATGAGTGGTGAGCGGGGGGGTGAGTGGGTGGTGAGTGGGAGAGTGAATGTGGGGTGAGCGGGGGGGTGAGTGGGGGAGTGAGTGGGAGAGTGAATGTGGGGTGAGTGGCGTGAGTGGGGGAGTGAGTGGGTGGTGAGTGGGTGGTGAGTGGGAGAGTGAATGTGGGGTGAGCGGCACAGAGAGAGAGAGAGAGTGGGTGGTGAGTGGGTGGTGAGTGGGGTGAGTGGGTGGTGAGTGGGGTGAGTGAGTGGTGAGTGGGAGAGTGAATGTGGGGTGAGCGGCACAGAGAGAGAGAGTGGGTGGTGAGTGGGTGGTGAGTGGGAGAGTGAATGTGGGGTGAGCGGGGGAGTGAGTGGGGTGAGGGTGAGTGGGTGAGGGTGAGTGGGTGAGGGTGAGTGGGTGAGTGGGTGAGGGTGAGTGGGTGAGGGTGAGTGGGTGAGGGTGAGCGGGTGAGGGTGAGTGGGTGAGGGTGAGTGGGTGAGGGTGTGAGTGGGTGAGTGGGTGAGGGTGAGTGTGGTGAGGGTGAGTGGGTGAGGGTGAGTGGGTGAGGGTGAGCGGGTGAGGGTGAGTGGGTGAGGGTGAGTGGGTGAGGGTGTGAGTGGGTGAGTGGGTGAGGGTGAGTGTGGTGAGGGTGAGTGGGTGAGGGTGAGTGGGTGAAGGTGAGTGGGTGAGGGTGAGTGGGTGAGGGTGAGTGTGGTGAGGGTGAGTGGGGTGAGGGTGAGTGGGTGAGGGTGAGTGGGGTGAGGGTGAGCGGGTGAGGGTGAGTGGGTGAGGGTGAGCGGGTGAGGGTGAGTGGGTGAGGGTGAGTGGGTGAGGGTGAGTGGGTGAGGGTGAGCGGGTGAGGGTGAGTGAGTGAGGGTGAGTGGGTGAGGGTGAGTGGGTGAAGGTGAGTGGGTGAGGGTGAGTGGGTGAGGGTGAGTGTGGTGAGGGTGAGTGGGGTGAGGGTGAGTGGGTGAGGGTGAGTGGGGTGAGGGTGAGCGGGTGAGGGTGAGTGGGTGAGGGTGAGTGGGTGAGGGTGAGTGGGTGAGGGTGAGTGGGTGAGGGTGAGTGTGGTGAGGGTGAGTGGGGTGAGGGTGAGTGGGTGAGGGTGAGTGGGGTGAGGGTGAGTGGGGTGAGGGTGAGTGTGGTGAGGGTGAGTGGGTGAGGGTGAGTGGGTGAGGGGGGTGAAGGTGAGTGGGTGAGGGTGAGTGGGTGAGGGGGGTGAAGGTGAGTGGGTGAGGGTGAGTGGGTGAGGGTGAGTGGGGTGAGGGTGAGTGGGGTGAGGGTGAGCGGGTGAGGGTGAGTGGGTGAGGGTGAGTGGGTGAGGGTGAGCGGGTGAGGGTGAGTGGGTGAGTGGGTGAGGGTGAGTGGGTGAGGGTGAGTGGGTGAAGGTGAGTGGGTGAGCGGGTGAGGGTGAGCGGGTGAAGGTGAGTGGGTGAGGGTGAGTGGGTGAGGGTGAGTGTGGTGAGGGTGAGTGGGTGAGGGTGAGTGTGGTGAGGGTGTGTGTGGTGAGGGTGAGTGGGGTGAAGGTGAGTGGGTGAGGGTGAGTGGGTGAGGGTGAGTGTGGTGAGGGTGTGTGTGGTGAAGGTGAGTGTGGTGAGGGTGAGTGGGTGAGGGTGAGTGGGTGAGGGTGAGTGTGGTGAGAGTGAGTGGGTGAGGGTGAGTGTGGTGAGGGTGAGTGGGTGAGGGTGAGTGTGGTGAGGGTGAGTGGGTGAGGGTGAGTGGGTGAGGGTGAGTGGGGTGAGGGTGAGTGGGTGAGGGTGAGTGGGTGAGGGTGAGTGCTACATACTCATGGAGAGAACTCCCCCCAACTCACGATCCCCTCCCACACCACTCACCCCACTCACCCCCCTCCACTCACCCCCCTCCACTCACCCCCCTCCACTCACCCCCCTCCACTCACCCCCCTCCACTCACCCCCCTCCACTCACCCCCCTCCACTCACCCCCCTCCACTCACCCCCCTCCACTCACCCCCCTCCACTCACCCCCCTCCACTCACCCCCCTCCACTCACCCCCCTCCACTCACCCCCCTCCACTCACCCCACTCCACTCACCCCACTCCACTCACCCCACTCCACTCACCCCACTCCACTCACCCCACTCCACTCACCCCACTCCACTCACCCCACTCCACTCACCCCACTCCACTCACCCCCCTCCACTCACCCCCCTCCACTCACCCCCCTCCACTCACCCCCCTCCACTCACCCCCCTCCACTCACCCCACTCCACTCACCCCCCTCCACTCACCCCCCTCCACTCACCCCCCTCCACTCACCCCCCTCCACTCACCCCCCTCCACTCACCCCCCTCCACTCACCCCCCTCCACTCACCCCCCTCCACTCACCCCACTCACCCCCCCCCACTCACCCCACTCACCCCACTCCACTCACCCCCCTCCACTCACCCCCCTCCACTCACCCCACTCACCCCACTCCACTCACCCCCCTCCACTCACCCCCCTCCACTCACCCCCCTCCACTCACCCCCCTCCACTCACCCCACTCCACTCACCCCCCTCCACTCACCCCCCTCCACTCACCCCACTCCACTCACCCCCCTCCACTCACCCCACTCACCCCACTCCACTCACCCCCCTCCACTCACCCCCCTCCACTCACCCCCCTCCACTCACCCCCCTCCCCTCACCCCCCTCCACTCACCCCACTCACCCCCCTCCACTCACCCCACTCACCCCATTCACCACCACCAAACTCACCCCAGCTCGTTATAATAATAGGGTTTTTCCCCTTTTTGTCTGGCAACAAAATTGAAACCTTTTCGCAAGGATTCATGTTGTCTGCATTAACCACAATAGCTGCAGTACAAAATACAAACAAAAAAAACATTAAATTTTGATTTAAAGCTTTCGTGACTGCAGTAATTCATATTCTTAGTTTTTTCGGTAAAGTCACGTTGAAGAGAAACATATATAAAAAAAATAAAAAAATATATTTTATTATTTATATTTTATTATTTTGCTGTTTCTCTTCAACGTGACTTTACCGAAAAAACTAAGAATAAAAAAACATTACTATGATAATATATGATGCATTGTCCTTGAAGCTGATTGGTCCACACCAAGGGACGACTCACCCCACACTCACCCCCACACTCACCCCCTCACTTGCCCCCACAGTCACCCCACACTCACCACCACACTCACCACCACACTCACCACCACGCTCACCACCACACTCACCCCACACTCACCACTACACTCACACCCCCACACTCACCACTCACCCCCACGCTCACCACCACACTCACCCCCACGCTCACCACCACACTCACCACCACACTCACCACCCACACTCACCACTACACTCACACCCCCACACTCACCACTCACCCCCACGCTCACCACCACACTCACCCCCACGCTCACCACCACACTCACCACCACACTCACCACCACACTCACACCCCCACACTCACCACTCACCCCCACGCTCACCACCACACTCGCCCCCACGCTCACCACCCCACGCTCGCCACCACGCTCACACCTCACCACCACGCTCACCCCCACACCACACTCACCCCCACGCTCACCACCACACTCGCCCCCACGCTCACCACCCCACGCTCGCCACCACGCTCACACCTCACCACCACGCTCACCCCCACACCACACTCACCCCCACGCTCACCACCACACTCACCACCCCACGCTCACCACCACACTCACCACCCACACTCACCACCACGCTCACCACCACACTCACCACCCACACTCACCACTACACTCACACCCCCACACCACACTCACCCCCACGCTCACCACCACACTCACCACCACGCTCACCACCACACTCACCACCCACACTCACCACCACACTCACACCCCCACACCACACTCACCCCCACGCTCACCACCACGCTCACCCCCATGCTCACCCCCACGCTCACCACCACGCTCACCACCACGCTCACCCCCACGCTCGCCACCACACTCACACCTCACCCCCACACTCACCACCCCACGCTCGCCACCCACACTCACCACACTCACCCCCACGCTCACACCCCACACACACCACCACGCTCACACCCCACAAACACCACCACGCTCACCACCACACTCACCACTCACCACCACACTCACCACCCCACGCTCGCCACCACACTCACACCTCACCCCCACGCTCGCCACCACCCACCCAACTCTCACCACCACACTCACCACCCCCACGCTCGCCACCACCCACCCAACTCTCACCACCACACTCACCACCCACACTCACCACCCACACTCACCACCCCCACGCTCGCCACCACCCACCCAACTCTCACCACCACACTCACCACCCCCATGCTCGCCACCACCCACCCAACTCTCACCACCACACTCACCACCCACACTCACCCCCACACTCACCACCCACCCAACTCTCACCACCACACTCACCACCCACACTCACCCCCACACTCACCACCCACCCAACTCTCACCACCACACTCACCACCCACACTCACCACCACACTCACCACACCCCACACTCACCACCACCCACACTCACCACCCCCACGCTCGCCACCACCCACCCAACTCTCACCCCACACTCACCACCCACACTCACCACACCCACCACCACCCACACTCACCACCCCCACGCTCGCCACCACCCACCCAACTCTCACCCCCACACTCACCACCCACACTCACCACCACCCACACTCACCACCCCCACGCTCGCCACCACCCACCCAACTCTCACCCCCACACTCACCACCCACACTCACCACCACCCACACTCACCACCCCCACGCTCGCCACCGCCCACCCAACTCTCACCACCACACTCACCACCCCCACACTCACCACACCCCACACACTCACCACCACCCACACTCACCACCACCACCCCCCACCGCCCACCCAACTCTCACCCCAGCTCCTCCAGGCTCTCCTGCAGTTTCACGCACTCCAGCTCCACCCTCCGCTTCCGCTCGTGCTGGAGGATCTCCGCGTTTGGCTTCCGCGTCGGGCCTCCACCGCCTCCACCGCCTCCTCCACCGCCTCCGCCGCCTCCCTCCTCCGACTTGTAGTCCACTCGTTCCTTGCGGTGCCGCACCAGTGACAGGTTGCGCTGGACGTAGCCGTTGGTGCCGCTGCCCCGCGGGGTGGGCAGCCCGATGCCGTTGTACATGGCGGGCGCTGTCGCGGGCTGCTGTTGTTGTTGTTGCGGCTGCTGTTGCTGTTGTTGCGGCGGCTGTTGTTGTTGCGGCTGCTGTTGTTGTTGTTGCGGCTGTTGTTGTTGTTGTGGTGGCGGCGGTGGTTGCGGTTGTGGTTGTACCACCGCAGCCGGTGGCTCGTCTGGTGTTGTTGTTGTTGTTGTCGCGGCTGTTGTTGTTGTTGCGGCTGTTGTTGTTGCGGCTGTTGTTGTTGTTGTTGTTGTGGTGGCGGCGGTGGTTGCGGTTGTGGTTGTACCACCGCAGCCGGTGGCTCGTCTGGTGTTGTTGTTGTTTGTTGTTGTTGTCGCGGCTGCTGTGGGTAGGGTAAGGTGCGGGACGGGGGCGGAGGGGAACAGACGGTAAAGATTTCATGGTACCGGCGGCGGTGGTGGTGGACTTGCCGATGACCGGGCCTCTGTGGAGGAGGAGGAGGTTCGCCGAGGACGCCGCTACTGGGCTGGTGCCAGGCTAGGTGCACCGTGTGGGCAGCTGGGAGGCAGTCGCCCCACCGGCAACAACAAGGAGCGACGGCTCACAACGACAGAGCCGAGCGCCGGGCGGACAAAACGCAGCGAGTCGGCACGGTCGGGGTCACAGGTGGTGCACCTCGCCTGGCACGGCAGGGGGTCACAGGTGGTGCACCTAGCCTGGCACGGCAGGGGTCACAGGTGGTGGTGCATCGACCGCTCATCTCAGTCAGTCGACTCGTGGCACCTGCTGGGTCTGCCCCGTGACCTCCTCCTCCTACACCTCTGTGGGTCTCGAGGAGTATGGGTCTCTGTGGGTCTCTGTTGATCTCTATGGGTCTCTGTGGATCTCTATGGGTCTCTGTGGGTCTCTGTGGGTCTCTATGGGTCTCTATGGGTCTCTGTGGGTCTCTATGGGTCTCTATGAGTGTGGGTCTCTGTGAGTGTGGGTCTCTGTGGGTCTCTGTGGGTCTCTATGGGTCTCTGTGGGTCTCTATGGGTCTCTATGAGTGTGGGTCTCTGTGGGTCTCTGTGGGTCTCTATGGGTCTCTATGGGTCTCTGAGTGTGGGTCTCTGTGGGTCTCGATGAGTATGGGTCTCTGCGGATCTCTATGGGTCTCTGTGGGTCTCTATGGGTCTCTATGAGTGTGGGTCTCTATGGGTCTCTACGAGTATGGATCTGTCTATGGGTCTCTTGAGTGTGGATCTATGAGTCTCTATGAGTCTGTATGAGTCTGTATAAGTATGGTCTCTATGAGTATGGGTCACTATGGGTCTCTATGAGTATGGATCTGTCGGTGGGTCTATGAGTGTGGATCTGTCTATGAGTCTCTTGAGTCTGTATGAGTATGGGTCTATATGGGTCTCTACGAGTATGGGTCTCTATGAGTCTCTACGAGCATGGATCTATGGGTCTCTGTGGGTCTCCACGAGTGTGGATCTGTCTACGAGTTTCTATGGGTCTGAGTATGGATCTCTGTGTGTTTCTGTGGGTTTGTATGGGTCTTTATAATGATGGGCTTCTGTGGGTCTATGAGTGTCTCTGGGTCTCTATGAGTATGGGTCTGTATATGGGTGTTAATGGGTCTGAATGAGTGGGGGTCTCTGTGTGGGTCTCTGTGGGGGTCTCTGTGTGGGTCTCTGTGGGTCTCTGTGTGTGTGTCTCTGTGTGTGTGTCTCTGTGTGTGTCTCTCTGTGTGTGTGTCTCTCTGTGTGTGTGTCTCTCTGTGTGTGTGTGTCTCTCTGTGTGTGTGTGTCTCTCTGTGTGTGTGTGTCTCTCTGTGTGTGTGTGTCTCTCTGTGTGTGTGTGTCTCTCTGTGTGTGTGTCTCTCTGTGTGTGTGTCTCTCTGTGCGTGTGTCTCTCTGTGCGTGTGTCTCTCTGTGCGTGTGTCTCTCTGTGCGTGTCTCTGTGCGTGTCTCTGTGCGTGTCTCTGTGCGTGTCTCTGTGCGTGTCTCTGTGTGTGGGTCTCTGTGTGTGGGTCTCTGTGTGTGGGTCTCTGTGTGTGGGTCTCTGTGTGTGGGTCTCTGTGTGTGGGTCTCTGTGTGTGGGTCTCTGTGTGTGGGTCTCTGTGTGTGGGTCTCTGTGTGTGGGTCTCTGTGTGTGGGTCTCTGTGTGTGGGTCTCTGTGTGTGGGTCTCTGTGTGTGGGTCTCTGTGTGTGGGTCTCTGTGTGTGGGTCTCTGTGTGTGGGTCTCTGTGTGTGGGTCTCTGTGTGTGGGTCTCTGTGTGTGGGTCTCTGTGTGGGTCTCTGTGTGTGTCTCTGTGAGTCTCTGTGTGTCTGTGTCTCTGTGTGTCTCTGTGTGAATCTCTGTGGTGTCTCTGTGTGTGTCTCTGTGTGTGTCTCTGTGTGTGAATCTGTGTCTGTGTGTGAATCTCTGTGTGTCTGTGTGTCTCTGTGTGTGAATCTCTGTGTGTGTCTCTGTGTGTGTCTCTGTGTGTGTGTCTCTGTGTGTGTGTCTCTGTGTGTGTGTCTCTGTGTGTGTGTCTGTGTGAATCTCTGTGTGTGTCTCTGTGGGGGTCTCTGTGTGAATCTCTGTGGTGTCTCCGTGTCTCTGTATGTCTCTGTGTGTGTCTGTGTGTCTGTATGTCTCTGTATGTCTCTGTGTGTGTCTGTGTGTGTCTGTGTGTGTCTGTGTCTCTGTGTGAATCTCTGTGGTGTCTCTGTGTGTCTGTGTGTGTCTGTGTGCGTCTGTGTCTCTTTGTCTCTGCGTGAATCTCTGTGGTGTCTCTGGGTCTCTGTGTGTGTCTGTGTCTCTGTGTGAATCTCTGTGTGTCTGTGTGTCTCTGTGTGTCTGTGTGTGTCTGTGTGTGTCTCTGTGTCTCTGTGTGAATCTCTGCGGTGTCTCTGTGGTGTCTCTGTGTCTCTGTGTGTCTCTGGGTCTCTGTGTGTGTCTGTGTGTCTCTGCGTGAATCTCTGTGTGTCTCTGCGTGGGTCTCTGTGTGTGTCTCTATGTGGGTCTCTGTGTGGGTCTCTGTGTGGGTCTCTGTGTGGGTCTCTGTGTGGGTCTCTGTGTGGGTCTCTGTGTGGGTCTGTGTGTCTCTGCGGTGTCTCTGCGGTGTCTCTGTGTGTCTCTGCGGTGTCTCTGCGGTGTCTCTGTATGTCTCTGTGTGTCTGTGTGTCTCTGCGTGAATCTCTGTGTGTCTCTGTGTGGGTCTCTGTGTGTCTCTGTGTGGGTCTCTGTGTGTGTCTCTGTGTCTCTGTGTGTGTCTCTGTGTGGGTCTCTGTGTGTGTCTCTGTGTGTGTCTCTGTGTGGGTCTCTGTGTGTGCCTCTGTGTGGGTCTGTGGTGTCTGTGTGAGTCTCTGTGTGGGTCTCTGTGTGTGTCTCTGTGTGAGTCTCTGCGTGTGCCTCTGTGTGGGTCTGTGTCTCTGTGGTATCTCTGTGTCTCTGTGTGTCTCTGTGTCTGTGTGTGGGTCTCTGTGTGTCTCTGTGTGTGTCTGTGTGTGTGTCTCTGTGTGTCTCTGTGTGTGTCTCTGTGTGTCTCTCTGTGTGAATCTCTGTGGTGTCTCCGTGTCTCTGTATGTCTCTGTGTGTCTCTGTGTGTGTCTGTGTGTGTCTGGGTCTCTGTGTGTCTTTGTCTCTGTGTGAATCTCTGTGTGTCTCTGTGTGTCTGTGTGTGTCTCTGTGTGAATCTCTGTGTGTGTCTCTGTGTGTGTCTCTGTGTGTGTCTCTGTGTGTGTCTCTGTGTGTGTCTCTGTGTGTGTCTCTGCGTGTGTCTCTGTGTGTGTCTCTGTGTGTGTCTCTGTGTGTGTGTCTCTGTGTCTCTGCGTGAATCTCTGTGGTGTCGATATCCAGGTCGCTTCTGGAAATAAAAAAAATACAACCCGGAGTGTTTGTAGATTTCAGCTCTGTGGTGGCGTTGGTCCCTTCACGCCTGACCACAGACCAACAAAACACCCCCCCCCCCAAACTCCTTAATAGTTCTCGCTGCTGCTGCCGCCGCTGCTGTTGTTGTTCAATTAAGTTTAGAGCGATTTATTTATTTAAAATAAATAAAAATCTAAAACCAAGCGAGAGTCTCAAAACACAGCCCCGTGACGCCAACGATGAGGCCTAGGCAGCCAGCGTAAGCCTGCCTCGCCACCTCAGCTCTCCTCTCTCTCTCTCGCTCGCTCGCTCTCTCTCTCTCACCTCGTCGTCGTAGTCGTCCTCTCGCTCTTCAACTCCACCTCGTCCACCTCGTGAAGTCGCTCGCCCGCCCGCTCGCTCGCCCGCCCGTTGGCTCTCCTCTTTAGCTACGGGAGCCTTCGGCGGGGGGGGGAAGGGGTGAGGGGTAGCAGCTCAGGCGGACGCCTTCACAACTAGGCCCGAGTGAAGCCCCGCCCCCTAACCCCGCCCCCTAACCCCGCCCCTTCCCCCCCCCAACTCCCCCCACCCCTCCCCTACCCTTCCCCCCAACGCCCCCCCCAGACACCATGAGGGTGGTGACGTCATCACGTCCCCCTCTACCCCCTCCCATACCCCCGCCCCCCAACGCCCCCCCCATCACGTCCCCCTCTACCCCCCCAACGCCCCCTTCCCCATCACACACCATGAGGGGGATGACGTCATCGCGTCCCCCTACCCCCTCTCCCCTTCCCCCATCACACACAATGAGGGGGATGACGTCATCACGCCGACCACCCTCCGCTTCTTCTCCCTCCACCGGAACGTCGCTCGGCGCGGTGACGTCACTGCGCCGTGACGTCACCGCACACGCTAAGAGTTGAGCTGCGGGGGGGGGGCGGGGGACGTTCGGCCCGCTGAAGAGGAACGCGGTGACGTAAACAGGTAGCGATGTCGGCGTGGTGACGTCACCACGCACGCTGGGGAGAGGGGGGGCGGAGTTTTGACGCGACGAGGAACGCGGTGACGTCGTCAGGTAGCGAGATCGGCGTGGTGACGTCACCACGCACGCATAAGGAAGCCGTTTCGGCCCGCTGAAGAGGAACGCGGTGACGTAAACAGGTAGCGATGTCGGCGTGGTGACGTCACCACGCACGCTGGGGAGGGGGGGCGGAGTTTTGACGCGACGAGGAACGCGGTGACATCATCAGGTAGCGAGATCGGCGTGGTGACGTCACCACGCACGCATAAGGAAGCCGTTTCGGCCCACTGAAGAGGAACGCGGGGACGTAACAGGTAGCGATGTCGGCGTGGTGACGTCACCACGCACGCTGGGGAGAGAGGGGGGGGGCGGAGTTTTGACGCGACGAGGAACGCGGTGACGTCGTCAGGTAGCGAGATGGGCGTGGTGACGTCACCACGCACGCATAAGGAAGCCGTTTCGGCCCGCTGAAGAGGAACGCGGTGACGTAAACAGGTAGCGATGTCGGCGTTGTGACGTCACCACGCACGCTGGGGAGAGAGAGGGTGGGACGGAGTTTTGACGCGGCGAGGAACGCGGTGACGTCGTCAGGTAGCGAGATCGGCGTGGTGACGTCACCACGCACGCATAAGGAAGCCGTTTCCAGCTACAGCAGCTGCTAACAGCAACTTCTACAGCAGCAGCAGCAGCTACAAATATAGATATATATATATTTTTTCTTTTCCGCTTGTGTGTTAATCTGTGTTTACCCCGGATATTTTAAAGATGGCAATTACCTTGCTGTGTATTCTACTGCTGTCCCTCCCGGTGCCACATCTAGTGCCACACTCAACTCTAATAAACGACTCCCCTCGTTGCTTTGCGTCGTCCATACTGTGTTGCTCGATTTGCCACCTCACCTGCAAAATGAAACAGCTCGTAGACACTTCTACTCTCCATCATTGTATCCTTTCTTTTTTAAAAAAAACCCTATCTTTGTCCCATTACTTCACCAGCACTCCTTCCAAACTTCAACTCTGCTCTTAAAAATAACGCCATCTGCGAGCCACTGCTATTGCTGCTGCTATTCGTCCAAGGTTCGCCGATGTTCATCCTTTCAAACTGTTAATTCTACTTTTCTTATTTCTGGGTGGTATTGAGCTTCATCCTGGCCCAAATGTTTTAAACAAATTCCGTAGATTTTTTCTGGCAGGAAAGGTGTTGGTGTTCTACATTGTCAGCGTCAGAGGGCTTGTAAACTAAATTAAGTCAACTAAAACTAGAAGTGGCAAATCTTGACCCGGGCATTTTTTTTTTGCCTAACAGAAACATTTCTCACTCCTGCCGTCAATGACTTGCAGATTACGATTGACAACTACAACCTTTTTCGGCTTGACCGAGGATCTAAAGGAGGTGGAATTGCCATCTATGTTCGTAATACTATTGCATGTTCACCGGCTCACTCCTTTGTAAGCCATCTGGCTACCATGAGAGATTCGTTCATGAGGCTATCCACATATACAAGCACGGAGACAATTTCAACCGAGAAGATGGATTCTGGCTTAGCAATCATTGGAAAGATTTGATAAACCATTTCAGATCTTAATTGATTGTTCACGCTTACAGTGGCTTTCAGACAGCATACATTATAAAAAAAATTCGTCTCCCCCCTCCTCTTTTCAGAACATAGATGGACTAGTCCGTCTAAATAATCTGCCAAATCGCTGCGCGTGGCGCTGACGTTCTTAATAAATAAATAAATGCGCCGTTTATAAATACATTTATGCAAACCGACGCACCTGAAGACGACCGTTTGTGTTATGGTCGAAACGTCGTGAGATTTTTTTTATTGTTTTATATATTTTATTATTTTGTTGTTTCCCTTCAACGTGACTTTACCGAAAGAACTAAGCATATACAGCTCACTCCTTGTTTAAAAAAATGTTGCTTCGAAGGTTTGGCTCTCAGAATAACTCTCCCAAATAATCAACAGATATTGGTAGTGTGCTGCTATAGACCGCCTTGTGGGAAGGATGTTGAAGCTGCATCGGCACTGAGAGAGCTTTTTGGGGACCTCCCTAAAGGTGAAATCGTTTTCGTGGGTAATCTAAATTGGAATTGGCTAAACCCGCCGGCCGTGGCCACAAATTTTACAGATGATTTTAACCTGTTTCAATTAATAAATGTCCCCACAAGACCCAACCTAAAAAATATGGGACAGTCAACTCTGCTTGACATCCTATTGACAAATGCCCCTCACAATTTCGCACTGGCTGGTGTTCTGGGTAATAACCTTAGCGATCACTCCTTCATTTTTGGGGTGAGATCATCAGCCAGACCCAAAGCCCCCCCTAAAATTGTTGAGAAGCACTCTATGAGACACTTCAGCACTCAGGCATTTTACTAATGATGTGCTTCACTCGGATATTGACAAGGTCTGTGATATCCCCAACCTGACCTCGGCTTGGGAGACCTTCAGGTACACGTTTCTCCAAATTCTTAACAAACATGCTCCGTCGGTTAGATTTCAAACTAAAGCCAACCGCCCACCATGGTATGATCCTTTGATTACAAAGCTCATGAAAACTAGGGACAAGGCTTGGGCATGTGCTCAGAAAAGTAATTTGGTCAATGACCGGCTTGAATACAGGATTTTAAGGAATAGATGCGTAAAAAAAATACGGCATGCAAAAAATGCCCAACTTTTCCTCCACTCTCCTGGAATCACATGGGAATGCCAGGATTTTTTGGAAAACAATCAAATCTATCGAAAAGGCATCCAAAACAGAACATCTGCCCGTTGAGCTTAACCAAAATGGGGAATATGTTTCAGATCCCAAAAGAATAGTTGACAATTTTAACCTTCATTTTTCTGAAGCTGGTAATCTTTTTGACAATGTATTGGGAGTCACCCCTGCTCCTGCAAATTCCTACACCCCTGTCCAAACATTAAACAAATTTAGTTTCCAACCAATCCACGAAAGTAATGTTCTGAAACAACTGTCCTACCTCAAAGGGTCCTCCTCTACCGGAGCAGATAGTTTTCCCGTCTTTGCTCTACTAACTGTTGGTCACCTAATATACAAACCTGTAGCCCATATTTTCAACCTGTCCATCAAAGAAGCATCGGTTCCTCTAGAATGGAAACATTCCTATGTCCGTCCACTTCACAAAGGGGGCCCTAAAGATGATCCAAATAACTACCGACCTATCTCAATTTTGTCCCCATTGATGAAAATTTTTGAAAAATTATTGAACTACCAAATTAGCAGTTTCCTGTCCACCAACAATCTACTACATCTAAAACAATCTGCGTTCCAAAAAAAATACAGCACCACATCTGCTGCATTAGACTCTCTGAATCACATTTACAATAGCCTTGATAATAAGCAGTACTGTGCCTGTCTTTTTCTTGACCTGTCCAAAGCTTTTGATACAGTAGACCACAACACCCTGCTTAGTAAACTAAGTTGCCTCGGTTTTTCCGAGAACACTGTACAATGGTTAAAAAATTACCTCTTTTCTCGCACCCAAACTATTCACAGATAGTTGGAGGTCAAACAGTGTTAAGATAACAAAAGGGGTTCCACAGGGTTCCATCCTCGGCCCCCTCTTGTTCTCTCTTTATGTCAATGACTTGGGCACTGACCTGGATCATTCCAGGGTAAATCTTTTTGCAGATGACACGATACTGATTACTGCTGGCCGCTCTCCGGATGACGTGATTGCTAAGCTCCAGGGTTATTTCAACAAACTACGACATCAGCTAGTTTCTCTTAAACTAGTCCTGAATACCTCCAAAACCAAGGTGCTATGCTTCTCACCGGGACTAAAGCAGGAAGTTATTTTTCCCCAATTACATTCCTTGAACAATTATCAAATAGAGCAAGTCAAGTTCTATAAGTATCTTGGGGCCATCCTGGATTCAAAACTTAGTTTTGAAGATCACATTGATTATATTGGTAAAAAGACAAAAATAAAAATTGGTTTTCTGTATCGACACAAGCACTGCCAACCCCCAATGTTCGTTTGGAATTGATAAAAGCTACCATACTGCCTCTACTTGACTACTGTGACATCGTGTATAAATCAGCCCCAAGTACTGTACTGAAGAAGCTTGATTCCATCTATCACTCGGCCTTAAGATTTGCATTGAACTGCCCATATAGGACTCACCACTGTGATCTCTACATTGGGTCAAACTTAACATCTCTTAATGTTCGACGGCTTGTGCACCAGATCTTATTTATTCACGATGTACTTACAAAAAAAATCCGCAGACTACCTGCTGCTGGATCTCCTCTCTGTTTCAAAGAACAAATTTGACCTCAGGTCTTCGCTCATTTACCAGCTTCACATTCCCTATTGCCGTACAGAAACCGGAGGAAGGGCCTTTGCTATTGATGCCCCCAGGGTCTGGAATGCTATTGCCAATAAACTGCAACTTGAATCACTACCTATGAGATCTTCACTCAAAACTGCTCTAGAGGAGTTGTACACCCCTAGCTGCCACTGCTATTCAGTGGCCTAAATTATGGCCCTAGATTTTGGTGTTATAATTTATTTATGTAGTTTATTGTTAAAAATTCGGTCACAGTCACTATGATCAATTGTCACATTGCATTTATGGCTTTTATTTTGGTGATTTCGAAAACGTTTTTTTGTTTTTGGCCATGTTTTTGTTTATTGTAGTACAGAGTTAGACTGATGGCCTTAATCTTAGTTGTCTTGTTGTTGTTATTTTGACTTGCATCCCACTGGGATTTTTGCACAGCGTTGGTGTACGGTGCTATTTCAGTAATATTTTGATGTTTTTTTCCTGGATTTTCTGTTTGCACAGAGTCACACATAGTCACTATAAGATGTTTTCTCGTTCATGTTTTTTAGTTTGTTGAGGTTGCACCCGATTCAAGAGCCGAATGGCTCACAGGGCTATACCAAAATAAATCAACTATGAACTATGTTTCGGCCCGCTGAAGAGGAACGCGGTGACGTAATCAGGCAGCGATGTCGGCGTGGTGACATCACCACGCACGCTGGGGAGGGGGGGGGCGGAGTTTTGACGCGACGAGGAACGCGGTGACGTCGTCAGGTAGCGAGCTCGGCGTGGTGACGTCACCACGCACGCATAAGGAAGCCGTTCGGCCCGCTGAAGAGGAACGCGGTGACGTTACCAGGTAGCGATGTCGGCGTGGTGACGTCACCACGCACGCTGGGGAGGGGGGGGCGGAGTTTTGACGCGACGAGGAACGCGGTGACGTAGTTGGTAGCGAAGTCGGCGTGGTGATGTCACCACGCACGCTTAGGGGGAATCTGGCGTTGTACGCGGTGACGTAGCCGGTAGGTAGGTCGGCGTGATGACGTCACCACGCTCGCGGATTGGGGGGGCGAGACGTTCGCAATGAACGCGTCCGCTGTACGCGGTGACGTCACTGCGGAAGAATGCCGTCTGCTCTGACGTCACAAGGGCCGGCTTCGCGCGTGTAACGTCACGGCGCGCCAGGCCCCGCCTACGTCTGGGAGATGACGTCACCATCTGCGAGATGACTTCACGTGAGATCTCCCCCCTCCACTATACTGGCATTTTCTCCCCCCACTGTACCTCCACGTGCCCCACCCCCCACTGTACCTCCACGTGCTCCCCCCCCACTGTACCTCCACGTGCTCCCCCCCACTGTACCTCCACGTGCCCCCCCACTGTACCTCCACGTGCCCCACCCCCCACTGTACCTCCACGTGCTCCCCCCCCACTGTACCCACGTGCTCCACCCCCACTGTACCTCCACGTGCCCCCCCTCCACTGTACCTCCACGTGCCCCCCCCAATGTACCCACGTGCCCCCCACTGTACCTCCACGTGCTCCACCCCCACTGTACCCACGTGCTCCACCCCCACTGTACCTCCACGTGCCCCCCCCAATGTACCCACGTGCCCCCCACTGTACCTCCACGTGCTCCCCCTCCACTGTACCCACGTGCTCCCCCCCCACTGTACCCACGTGCTCCACCCCCCACTGTACCCACGTGCTCCCCCCCACTGTACCCACGTGCCCCCCACTGTACCCACGTGCTCCCCCCCCCCACTGTACCCACGTGCCCCCCACTGTACCTCCACGTGCTCCCCCCCCCCACTGTACCCACGTGCTCCACCCCCCACTGTACCCACGTGCTCCACCCCCCACTGTACCCACGTGCTCCACCCCCCACTGTACCCACGTGCTCCTCCTCCACTGTACCCACGTGCCCCCCACTGTACCTCCACGTGCTCCACCCCCACACACTACCTCCACGTGCTAATTCCTTTGTCAAGGCGTCTTTTCTGTTTACCCAATCACAGCTTAAAGGAGGCGACTCGCGCTTGACATTCTTCACTCCAACGCTGTCCAGAGTCCCTGCACCTGATGAAGGCCACTTGTGTTGTGGCCGAAACGTCGTGATTTTTGTACTATTTTTTTTACCTACGTGACTTTACCGAATAGAACCAAAGAGTATTTTGTCCTTTTGTCAACGTGACACTTATTTTTTTTACTGATTGGCCGTGTCGGGTGGTGGAGGGTTACGACACATTTATAAATAAACGCGATCTAACCCAACAACGTTTTATCATGAATAATATTGGTCGCGAAAGCGTACGTGTTAAACTTGCATCATTTATTAGAATGACATTATTAGGAAAGATGATGACGTTACAGTTGCATTAATGTTAAAGACAATGCATCGTTTATTAGAATGACATTATTAGGAAAGTCGACGGATGATAACAACATCGTTACACATTATTATCAAAGACAATGCATCATTTATTATAATCAGAGGAATCTTTTGTTTGCATGTTCACCGCAAACTACCGTATGTGTGTGTGTGTGTGGTTCACGCAGAGGATTGATCCCTCGCAACAGCTATCATCTACTTGGCATTCAAAGATCCGAACAATCCTGTTCGTATTTGCTTGAGTCTAAGGCGCTAAAGAGAGCTGCCTCAAAGGCAATGAATCATGTGCCAGTTAAAAGCGTTGGATTGCGAGCAATAATTCGTTCCCGGAAACGTGTTTGTAATTCAGAGCGCTCGGATATCGAAGCGCTCATATGTCAGTTGTGATCACGTGACGCCCGGCGGTACAAAGCGTGTGCTCGTACTACTACTCGTATTGCTGAGACCCTCGCTCGTTCATCAAATTAATATTTACTGACGAACAAAACATTTCTCGTCTCGCAAAACGCTCGCAGGCCCAAGTTACTCTGTGATTCAACCGAGAAGATGGATTCCGGCTTAGCAATCATTGGAAGGATTTGATCAACCATTTCGGGTCTTGAGTGATTGTTCACGCTTACGGTGGCTTTCAGACCGCATCCATTATTTTTCGTCTCTCCCGCCCCCCCCTCCTCCTCCTCTTTTCCGAGCATAGATGGACTCGTCCGTCTGAACAGACTGTCAAATCGCTCTCCGTGGTGCTAACGTCGAAACGTTTTCTTGCTGTGGTTTTCACGCCTGCTTGACGATTGCTTGCGTTGCAGTCGAAACGTCGTGGGAATGTTATTTAATTTATTTAATTTTCAGCTCTTCACGTCGATAGGTTCGAAACAAAATGTAAGAGAAAAGAGAACGGGAAACTGGCGACGTTTCAAGCACAACGCGGGTCCCCTTACTAAGTTGGCCGCGTCGAGGGGGCCGGAGGGTACACCCAAAACTCAGCGTTGACACTCACAGCCATCCCAAACCCCCCACAACACTCAACGTTGACACTCACAGCCATCCCAAACCCCCCAACGAAACACTCAGCGTTGACACTCACAACCATCCCAAACCCCCAACACTCAACGTTGACACTCACAACCATCCCAAACCCCACAACACTCAACGTTGACACTCACAACCATCCCAAACCCCCAAAACTCAACGTTGACACTCACAACCATCCCAAACCCCACAACACTCAACGTTGACACTCACAGCCATCCCAAACCCCCAACACTCAACGTTGACACTCACAACCATCCCAAACCCCACAACACTCAACGTTGACACTCACAACCATCCCAAACCCCACAACACTCAACGTTGACACTCACAACCATCCCAAACCCCACAACACTCAACGTTGACACTCACAACCATCCCAAACCCCCAACACTCAACGTTGACACTCACAGCCATCCCAAACCCCACAACACTCAACGTTGACACTCACAGCCATCCCAACTCCCACAACACTCAACGTTGACACTCACAGCCATCCCAAACCCCACAACACTCAACGTTGACACTCACAACCATCCCAAACCCCCAAAACTCAACGTTGACACTCACAACCATCCCAAACCCCCCAACGAAACACTTAGCGTTGACACTCACAACCATCCCAAACCCCCAACACTCAATGTTGACACTCACAGCCATCCCAAACCCCACAACACTCAACGTTGACACTCACAGCCATCCCAAACCCCCCACAACACTCAACGTTGACACTCACAGCCATCCCAAACCCCACAACACTCAACGTTGACACTCACAGCCATCCCAAACCACCCACAACGAAACACTTAGCGTTGACACTCACAACCATCCCAACTCCCACAACGAAATACTCATTATGAACAACATCGTTACACGACAGCCTGCATCGTGTTAAACTCATCGTCGTTGTTGTTGTTGTTATTGTTGTTGTTATTGTTGTTGTTATTGTTGTTGTTATTGTTGTTGTTATTGTTGTTGTTGTTATTGTTGTTGTTATTGTTGTTGTTGGTGAAGTAGAAATCAGGAGGAGAAAGCTCCGATAGGCCACTCACCGCTTTGTCAGGAGTGGCCGGGTGCCTCCACCCCCCCCACTAGCACTAGCCACTCCTACCCCCCACCACCACTAAGCCCCCCACTAGCCCCTCCCCCCACTAGCCCCTCCACCCACTAGCCCCTCCCCCCACTAGCCCCTCTCCTCCACTAGCCACTCCTACCCCCACCACCACCAAGCCCCCCACTAGCCCCACCCCCCACTAGCCCCTCCCCCCACTAGCCCCTCCCCTCCACTAGGCACTCCCACCCCCCACCACCACTAAGCCCCCCACTAGCCCCACCCCCTACTAGCCCCTCCACCCACTAGCCCCAACCCCCACTAGCTCCCCCCACTATCCCCTCCCAACTATCCTCCTGCCTCAAACCAGTCCCTCCACCCACTAGACCCACCCCCCCCCCCCCCACTACCCCCTCCACCCACTAGCCCCCCCCTCCCCCGGACTAAACCCCCCCATCCCCTCCCCCCACTAACCGCCTCTCCCTCCCCCCCCACCGCAACTACCACCCCCCACCAGCAGCACCCCCCACTAGCGATGCCGACGCGCTGCTGTAGAGCTGCAGGGTGATGACGTCTCCGTCCGTGACGATGACGTCGCCAACGCCTGTAGTGGGGGGGGGAGGGGGGTGGTAGTGGGGGGGAGGGAGTGGTGGTGGTGGTGGGGGGAAGGGGTCGATGATAGTTATCGTCAATACATTATGTCATAATTACTTAATGACCCATCGTTAGCCGTGTCACGATTATTATTTGTGGCGATTTACGCTTGCGAGGTGGTGGAGCGCCCGCTCACTCACTCGCTCGCTCGCTCACTCGCTCGCTCACCCGCCCACTCACTCGCTCACTCACCCGCCCACTCACTCACTCCCTCACCCGCCCGCTCGCTCACCCGCCCACTCGCTCGCTCACTCGCTCGCTCACCCGCCCACTCACTCGCTCGCTCACCCGCCCACTCACTCACTCCCTCACCCGCCCGCTCGCTCACCCGCCCACTCACTCGCTCGCTCGCTCGCTCACCCGCCCACTCACTCGCTCACTCACTCCCTCACCCGCCCGCTCGCTCACCCGCCCACTCACTCACTCGCTCGCTCGCTCACCCGCCCACTCACTCGCTCACTCACTCCCTCACCCGCCCGCTCGCTCACCCGCCCACTCACTCGCTCGCTCGCTCGCTCGCCCGCCCACTCACTCGCTCACCCGCCCACTCGGTCGCTCACCCGCCCACTCACTCGCTCGCTCGCTCGCCCGCCCGCTCGCTCACCCGCCCACTCGCTCGCTCACTCACTCCCTCACCCGCCCACTCACTCGCTCACCCGCCCACTCGCTCGCTCACCCGCCCGCTCGCTCGCTCACCCGCCCACTCACTCGCTCGCTCGCTCGCCCGCCCGCCCGCTCGCTCACCCGCCCGCTCGCTCACCCGCCCACTCGCTCGCTCACCCGCCCACTCGCTCGCTCGCCCGCCCGCCCGCCCGCTCGCTCACCCGCCCACTCGCTCGCTCACCCGCCCACTCACTCGCTCTCTCGCCCACTCGTTCACTCGCCCGCCCGCTCGCTCACTCGCCCGCTCACTCGCTCTCTCGCCCGCTCGCTCGCTCACCCGCCCGCTCGCTCACCCGCCCGCTCGCTCGCTCGCTCACCCACCCGCCCGCTCGCTCGCTCGCTCACCCGCCCACCCACTCGCTCACTCGCTCACTCACCCGCTCGCCCGCACGCCAACCCACTCGCCCGCCCACCCACTCGCCCTTCCACCCACTCGCTCGCACGCCCACCCACTCGCTCACCCGCCCACCCGCTCGCTCTCCCGCTCACTCACTCGCTCGCCCGCCCACCCAGGGATGGGATCGAACCCACGACCTCCTGTAGACCAGGCGAGGCAGTCAACATCTCCGTAGCCACCGTGGCGCGTGGGTGCGTGCGTGCCAGGCTAGGTGCACGAGCCTTGGTCTGTAGGGATGCCGCTGGGGCCGAGGACACGCCAGTAGGTGCCCAGCGCGGGGTCGGCGGGGAGACCAGCGACAGAGGTGATGAAGGGGCCCCAGATGGTGGGCACGCTTACAAACCTGCAAGGGAGTGGGGGTAGCGGGGTGAGAGTCGGGGTGAGGGTCAGGGTGGGACACACCCACTGACGCTCACTCACCCACCCACTCACTCACACACTCACTCACTCACACACTCATACACTCACTCTACACTCGCTAACTCATACACTCACACACTCACTCATACACTCACTCTACACTCACACTCACTCATACACTCACACACTCATACACTCACTCACTCACACACTCACTCACACACTCACTCACTCATACACTCACACACTCATACACTCACTCTACACTCGCTAACTCATACACTCACACACTCACACACTCACTCATACACTCACTCTACACTCACACACTCACTCATACACTCACATACTCATACACTCACTCACACACTCATACACTCACTCACTCACACACTCACACACTCACTCTACACTCACACACTCACTCATACACTCACTCACACTCACTCACACACTCACTCACACACTCACTCACACACTCACACACTCATACACTCACTCACACACTCACTCTACACTCACACACTCACTCATACACTCACTCTACACTCACACACTCACTCATACACTCACATACTCATACACTCACACACACACTCATACACTCACTCACTCACACACTCACACACTCACTCTACACTCACACACTCACTCATACACTCACTCACACACTCACTCATACACTCATACACTCACTCACACACTTATACATTCACTCACACACTCACTCATTCACTCTACACTCACACACTCACTCATACACTCACTCACTCATACACTCACTCACACACTCACTCACACACTCACACTCACTCACACTCACTCACACACTCACTCACACACTCACTCATACACTCACACACTCATACACTCACTCACACACTCATACATTCACTCAAAAACTCATACACTCACTCACTCATACACTCACTCACACACTCACACACACTCACACACTCATACACTCACACACTCACTCTACACTCACACACTCACTCATACACTCACTCTACACTCACACACTCACTCATACACTCACATACTCATACACTCACTCACACACTCACACACTCATACACTCACACACTCACACACTCACTCTACACTCACACACTCACTCATACACTCACTCACACACTTATACATTCACTCACACATTCACTCATTCACTCTACACTCACACACTCACTCATACACTCACACACTCATACACTCACTCACACACTCACACACTCATACACTCACTCACACACTCACTCACACACTCACACACTCACTCTACACTCACACACTCACTCATACACTCACTCACACACTCACATACTCACTCATACACTCATACATTCACTCACACACTCACACACTCACTCATACACTCACTCTACACTCACTCACTCATACACTCACATACTCATACACTCACTCACACACTCACACACTCATACACTCACTCACACACTCACTCACACACTCACTCTACACTCACACACTCACTCATACACTCACACACTCACTCACAGACTCACACTCACTCACACACTCACTCACACACTCACTCACACACTCACTCACAGACTCACACTCACACACTCATACACTCACTCACACACTCACTCACACACCCACCCCACCGGCCCCGCCCACCACCACCGGCCCCGCCCACCACCACCGGCCCCGCCCACCACCACCGGCCCCGCCCACCACCCACCGGAATCTCTCCGCGTCCTCCTCCTCTGCGGCCTCCATCACTCGCAGCACCGAGGACCCCGGCGGAACGCGGACTCTCACCGCCCGCTGGAGGCGTCCGCTCACCGCATCGCTCACCCGGTACTCCACGCTCACCGCATCGCTCACCCGGTACTCCTCGCTCACCACATCGCTCACCGGCGCGCCCGCCGCCCCGAGTCGCCCGGCCTCTCCGCGAGCGAGCGGCTCACCTGAGGGGTTGAGTCGCGGGCTCAGCAACGTGACGGAGACTCAGCACTAAGACTCAGCACTAAGACTCAGCACTAAGACTCAGCACTAAGACTCAGCACTGCACCATAGACTCAGCACTAAGACTCAGCACTAAGACTCAGCACTAAGACTCAGCACTAAGGCTCAGCACTAAGACTCAGCACTAAGACTCAGCACTAAGACTCAGCACTAAGACTCAGCACTAAGACTCAGCACTAAGACTCAGCACTAAGACTCAGCACTAAGACTCAGCACTAAGACTCAGCACTAAGACTCAGCACTAAGACTCAGCACTAAGACTCAGCACTAAGACTCAGCACTAAGACTCAGCACTAAGACTCAGCACTAAGACTCAGCACTAAGACTCAGCAATAAGACTCAGCACTAAGACTCAGCACTAAGGCTCAGCACTAAGACTCAGCACTAAGACTCAGCACTGCACCATAGACTCAGCACTAAGACTCAGCACTAAGACTCAGCACTAAGACTCAGCACTAAGACTCAGCACTAAGACTCAGCACTGCACCATAGACTCAGCACTAAGACTCAGCACTAAGACTCAGCAATAAGACTCAGCACTAAGACTCACCACTGCACCATAGACTCAGCACTAAGACTCAGCACTAAGAGTCAGCACTAAGACTCAGCAATAAGACTCAGCACTAAGACTCAGCACTAAGACTCAGCACTAAGACTCAGCACTAAGACTCAGCACTAAGACTCAGCACTGCACCATAGACTCAGCACTAAGACTCAGCACTAAGACTCAGCACTAAGACTCAGCACTAAGACTCAGCACTAAGACTCAGCACTAAGACCTTAGCACTAAGACTCAGCACTAAGACTCAGCACTAAGACTCAGCACTAAGACTCAGCACTAAGACTCAGCACTAAGACTCAGCACTGCACCATAGACTCAGCACTAAGACTCAGCACTAAGACTCAGCACTAAGACTCACACTAAGACTCAGCACTAAGACTCAGCACTGCACCATAGACTCAGCACTAAGACTCAGCACTAAGAGTCAGCACTAAGACTCAGCACTAAGACTCAGCACTAAGACTCAGCACTAAGACTCAGCAATAAGACTCAGCACTAAGACTCAGCACTGAGGACTCAGCACTAAGATCTCAGCACTAAGACTCAGCACTAAGACTCAGCACTAAGACTCAGCACTGCACCATAGACTCAGCACTAAGACTCAGCACTAATACTCAGCACTAAGACTCAGCACTAAGACTCAGCACTAAGACTCAGCACTAAGACTCAGCACTAAGACTCAGCACTAAGACTCAGCACTAAGACTCAGCACTAAGGCTCAGCACTAAGACTCAGCACTAAGACTCAGCACTAAGACTCAGCACTAAGACTCAGCACTAAGACTCAGCACTGCACCATAGACTCAGCACTAAGACTCAGCACTAATACTCAGCACTAAGACTCAGCACTAAGACTCAGCACTAACACTCAGCACTAAGACTCAGCACTAAGACTCAGCACTAAGACTCAGCACTGCACCATAGACTCAGCACTAAGACTCAGCACTAATACTCAGCACTAAGACTCAGCACTAAGACTCAGCACTAAGACTCAGCACTGCACCATAGACTCAGCACTAAGACTCAGCACTAAGACTCAGCACTAAGACTCAGCACTAAGACTCAGCACTAAGGCTCAGCACTAAGACTCAGCACTAAGACTCAGCACTAAGACTCAGCACTGCACCATAGACTCAGCACTAAGACTCAGCACTAAGACTCAGCACTAAGACTCAGCACTAAGACTCAGCACTAAGACTCAGCACTAAGACTCAGCACTAAGACTCAGCACTGCACCATAGACTCAGCACTAAGACTCAGCACTAAGACTCAGCAATAAGACTCAGCACTAAGACTCAGCACTAAGACTCAGCACTAAGACTCAGCACTAAGACTCAGCACTGCACCATAGACTCAGCACTAAGACTCAGCACTAAGACTCAGCACTAAGACTCAGCACTAAGACTCAGCACTAAGACTCAGCACTAGACTCAGCACTAAGACTCAGCACTAAGGCTCAGCACTAAGACTCAGCACTAAGACTCAGCACTAAGACTCAGCACTAAGGCTCAGCACTAAGGCTCAGCACTAAGACTCAGCACTAAGACTCAGCACTAAGACTCAGCACTAAGGCTCAGCACTAAGACTCAGCACTAAGACTCAGCACTGCACCATAGACTCAGCACTAAGACTCAGCACTGCACCATAGACTCAACACTACACCACAGACTCAACACTGCACCATAGACTCAGCACTGCCCATAGACTCAGCACTGCACCATAGACTCAGAACTGCACCAGAGACTCAGCACTGCATCATAGACTCAACACTGCACCATAGACTCAACACTGCACCATAGACTCAACATGCACCATAGTCTCAACACTGCACCATAGACTCAACACTAAGACTCAGCACTGCACCATAGACTCAGCACTAAGACTCAGCACTGCACCATAGACTCAGCACTGCACCACAGACTCAGCACTAAGACTCAGCACTAATACTCAGCACTAAGACTCAGCACTAAGACTCAGCACTAAGACTCAGCACTAAGACTCAGCACTAAGACTCAGCACTAAGACTCAGCACTAAGACTCAGCACTAAGACTCAGCACTGCACCATAGACTCAGCACTAAGACTCAGCACTAAGACTCAGCACTAAGACTCAGCACTAAGACTCAGCACTAAGACTCAGCACTAAGACTCAGCACTGCACCATAGACTCAGCACTAAGACTCAGCACTAATACTCAGCACTAAGACTCAGCACTAAGACTCAGCACTAAGACTCAGCACTAAGACTCAGCACTAAGACTCAGCACTAAGACTCAGCACTAAGACTCAGCACTAAGGCTCAGCACTAAGACTCAGCACTAAGACTCAGCACTAAGACTCAGCACTAAGACTCAGCACTAAGACTCAGCACTGCACCATAGACTCAGCACTAAGACTCAGCACTAATACTCAGCACTAAGACTCAGCACTAAGACTCAGCACTAACACTCAGCACTAAGACTCAGCACTAAGACTCAGCACTAAGACTCAGCACTGCACCATAGACTCAGCACTAAGACTCAGCACTAATACTCAGCACTAAGACTCAGCACTAAGACTCAGCACTAAGACTCAGCACTGCACCATAGACTCAGCACTAAGACTCAGCACTAAGACTCAGCACTAAGACTCAGCACTAAGACTCAGCACTAAGGCTCAGCACTAAGACTCAGCACTAAGACTCAGCACTAAGACTCAGCACTGCCCCATAGACTCAGCACTAAGACTCAGCACTAAGACTCAGCACTAAGACTCAGCACTAAGACTCAGCACTAAGACTCAGCACTAAGACTCAGCACTAAGACTCAGCACTAAGACTCAGCACTGCACCATAGACTCAGCACTAAGACTCAGCACTAAGACTCAGCAATAAGACTCAGCACTAAGACTCAGCACTAAGACTCAGCACTAAGACTCAGCACTAAGACTCAGCACTGCACCATAGACTCAGCACTAAGACTCAGCACTAATACTCAGCACTAAGACTCAGCACTAAGACTCAGCACTAAGACTCAGCACTAAGACTCAGCACTAAGACTCAGCACTGCACCATAGACTCAGCACTAAGACTCAGCACTAAGACTCAGCACTAAGACTCAGCACTAAGACTCAGCACTAAGGCTCAGCACTAAGACTCAGCACTAAGACTCAGCACTAAGACTCAGCACTAAGACTCAGCACTAAGACTCAGCACTAAGGCTCAGCACTAAGACTCAGCACTAAGACTCAGCACTAAGACTCAGCACTAAGGCTCAGCACTAAGGCTCAGCACTAAGACTCAGCACTAAGACTCAGCACTAAGACTCAGCACTAAGGCTCAGCACTAAGACTCAGCACTAAGACTCAGCACTGCACCATAGACTCAGCACTAAGACTCAGCACTGCACCATAGACTCAACACTAAGAATCAGCACTAAGACTCAGCACTAAGACTCAGCACTAAGACTCAGCACTAAGACTCAGCACTAAGACTCAGCACTAAGACTCAGCACTGCACCATAGACTCAGCACTAAGACTCAGCACTGCACCATAGACTCAACACTACACCACAGACTCAACACTGCACCATAGACTCAGCACTGCCCATAGACTCAGCACTGCACCATAGACTCAGAACTGCACCAGAGACTCAGCACTGCATCATAGACTCAACACTGCACCATAGACTCAACACTGAGACTCAGCACTAAGACTCACCACTGCACCATAGACTCAACACTGCACCATAGACTCAACACTGCACCATAGACTCAACACTGCACCATAGACTCAACACTGCACCATAGACTCAGCACTGCACCATAGACTCAACACTGCACCATAGACTCAACACTGCACCATAGACTCAACACTGCACCATAGACTCAACACTGCACCACAGACTCAACACTACACCATAGACTCAACACTGCACCATAGACTCAGTGCTGCCCATAGACTCAACACTGCACCATAGACTCAACACTGCACCATAGACTCAACACTGCACGATAGACTCACCACTGCACCATAGACTCAACACCGAGACTCAACACCGCACCACAGACTCAACACTACACCACAGACTCAACACTGCACCATAGACTCAATACTACACCATAGACTCAGCACTGCACCATAGACTCAGCACTGCACGATAGACTCAACACTGCACCATAAACTCAACATTGCACCATAGACTCAACACTGCACCACAGACTCAAAACTGCACAATAGACTCAACATTGAGACTCAACACTGCACCACAGACTCACCACTGCACCACAGACTCAACACTACACCATAGACTCAACACTACACCATAGACTCAACACTGCACCACAGACTCACCACTGCACCATAGACTCAACACTACACCATAGACTCAACACTGCACCACAGACTCACCACTGCACCATAGACTCACCACTGCACCATAGACTCAACACCGCACTACAGACTCAGCACCGCACCACAGACTCAGCACTGAGACTCAGCACTAAGACTCACCACTGCACCACAGACTCAGCACTGAGACTCAGCACTGCACCATAGACTCACCACTGCACCACAGTCTCAGCACCACTGCACCACAGACTCAGCACTGAGACTCAGCACCACCGCACCACAGAAACCCCCCCCCGCAACGCTGCACCGTAGGCCCGGCGCGTGCTAACCTGCGCTCCGTTTCTCCGCCTCCACCTCCTCCCCGTCGCCTGGCGCGCCCCCACGCCGGACGAGGTGCGTGTCAAGCGGCCCTCCGTGGCCACCTCCGTGGCCTCCTCCGTGGCCTCCTCCGTGGCCTCCTCCGTGGCCACCTCCGTGGCCTCCTCCGTGGCCACCTCCGTGGCCTCCTCCGTGGCCGCCTCCGTGGCCGCCTCCGTGGCCGCCGCTGTGGCCGTGGTGACGGCCGTGGTGGCGGCCGCAGGGACTAGCGGCGGCGGCGTCGTAGAGGCTGCGTCCGCTCAGCGCCAGCAGGCCGTGGGCCGCCGCCGCCGGGTTGCCGAAGCGGCCGGCCAGGGTGGCGGCCACGAGGCGCCGCTCGCTCGCCGCGCAGTCCCAGCCATGCGGGGAGAGGTCCAGCAGGCGTTGGCCCGCTGTGAGCGCCTGTGTGCGGGTGGGTGAGTGGGTGGGTGGGTGAGTGGGTGGGGTGGGTGGGTGAGTGGGTGGGTGGGTGGGTGGGTGAGTGGGTGAGTGGGTGAGTGGGTGGGTGGTGGGTGGGTGGGTGAGTGGGTGGGTGGGTGGGTGAGTGGGTGAGTGGGTAGGTGAGTGGGTGGGTGGGTGAGTGGGTGAGTGAGTGGGTGGGTGGTTTATGGGTGGGTGGGTGAGTGGGTGGGTGGGTGAGTGGGTTGGTGAGTGGGTGAGTGGGTTGGTGGGTGAGTGGGTGGGTGGGTGGGTGAGTGGGTTGGTGAGTGATTGAGTGGGTGGTGGGTGAGTGGGTGAGTGATTGAGTGGGTGGGTGGATGGGTGGGTGAGTGGGTTGGTGAGTGGGTGAGTGATTGAGTGGGTGGGTGTTGGTGGGTGGGAGGGTGGATGATTGAGTGGATGGATGAGTGGGTGGGTGAGTGGGTGGGTGAGTGGGTGAGTGGGTGGATGGATGAGTGGGTGGGTGAGTGGGTGAATGGGTGAGTGGGTTGGTGAGTGGGTGGGTGGGTGGGTGAGTGGGTGAGTGGGTGGGTTGGTGGGTGAATGGGTAGGTGAGTGGGTGGGTGGGTGGGTGAGTGGGTGGGTGGTGGGTGGGTGGTGGGTGAGTGGGTGAGTGGGTGGGTGAGTGGGTTGGTGAGTGGGTGGGTGAGTGGGTGAGTGGGTTGGTGAGTGGGTGGGTGAGTGGGTAGGTGAGTGGGTGGGTGGGTGAGTGGGTGGGTGGTGGGTGGGTGGGTGGGTGAGTGGGTGGGTGGGTGAGTGGGTGGGTGAGTGGGTGAGTGTGCGGGTGGGTGTGTGGGTGGGTGGGTGGGTGGGTGGGGTGGGTGGGGGGGGTGGGTGGGTGGGTGAGTGGGTGAGTGGGTGAGTGGGTGGTGGTTGGGTGAGTGGGTGGGTGGGTGAGTGGGTGGGTGAGTGGGTGGGTGGGTGGGTGAGTGGGTGAGTGGGTGAGTGGGTGGGTGAGTGGGTGAGTAGGTGAGTGGGTGGGTGAGTGGTGGGTGGGTGGGTGAGTGGGTGGGTGGGTGAGTGGGTGAGTGGGTGGGTGGGTGAGTGGGTGGGTGGGTGGGTGAGTGGGTGGGTGAGTGGGTGGGTGGTGGGTGGGTGGGTGGTGGGTGGGTGGGTGAGTGGGTGGGTGGGTGAGTGGGTGGGTGGGTGAGTGGGTGAGTGGGTGGTGGGTGAGTGGGTGGGTGAGTGGGTGAGTGGGTGGGTGAGTGGTGGGTGGGTGGGTGAGTGGGTTGGTAAGTGGGTGGGTGAGTGAGTGATTGAGTGGGTGGTGGGTGAGTGATTGAGTGGGTGGTGGGTGAGTGAGTGGGTGAGTGGGTGAGTGAGTGGGTGAGTGGGTGGGTGGGTGGTTTGTGGGTGGGTGGGTGAGTGGGTGGGTGAGTGGGTGGGTGAGTGATTGAGTGGGTGGTGGGTGAGTGATTGAGTGGGTGGTGGGTGAGTGGGTGAGTGGGTGGGTGAGTGGGTGAGTGAGTGGGTGAGTGGGTGGGTGGGTGGTTTGTGGGTGGGTGGGTGAGTGGGTGGGTGAGTGGGTGAGTGGGTGGTGGGTGGGTGGTGGGTGGGTGGGTGGGTGAGTGGGTTGGTGAGTGGGTGGGTGAGTGGGTGAGTGGGTTGGTGAGTGGGTGGGTGAGTGATTGAGTGGGTAGTGGGTGAGTGGGTGAGTGATTGAGTGGGTGGGTGGGTGGGTGAGTGGGTGAGTGATTGAGTGGGTGGGTGTTGGTGGGTGGGAGGGTGGATGATTGAGTGGATGGATGAGTGGATGGATGAGTGGGTGGGTGAGTGGGTGGATGGATGAGTGGGTGGGTGAGTGGGTGAATGGGTGAGTGGGTTGGTGAGTGGGTGGTGGGTTGGTGAGTGGGTGGTGGGTGGGTGGGTAGGAGAACAAGTAGAGATGTTAACTGCCTTGCCCGGTGCGCAGGAGGTCGTCGGTTCGATCCTAGACCCTGACGATGCCTGCTGCTGCTGCTGCTCTACATTTGGACCGGGTACTCATTTGAGGCTGAGTCGATCTAGGGGAGGCCCAGGACCGGTTCAGATCATCGTCACCGGTGGTGTCGCCGGGTTCGTAGCGCAGCGTAGCGCTAACCACTGCACCACCGCTCCCCCCACACACACACAGTGACACAACAACAACAACCGTCATTCGCCACAACAACAACCGCCATTCCGCTGTGGTAAGCCTCCTAATTCTCTGACGTGGGATTCTGTAGCCGATGACAGTGGGCCTGTCGCTTTTTCTCAACTATCCTGAACACCTCCTCTGTCAGCCAGGGTCTCTGGGGAGGTCTGGACCGCGTACCCAAAGCAGCCATTGCAGCTGCATGAGTCACAGTCCTAAACCTCGTTCAGTCACCCTCAACATCAAGAGGAGTGGGGGACGATGCCAATCCCAGCCGCAAGCGATGATGAAATTCTCGCTTGCAACTTTCATCAGATAACTGAGACCAGGCCACTTTGGATTGGAATGGGGTCCTGGGTGTACACGCACCACCGGAGTGGAAAAATGGCAGGCGCATATTACAGATGACTAGTCGATGGTCAGAGGGCAGATTAGCTCCACGGTAGATCCTGGTGTCAAGGACATGGGCTCGCATCCGCTGGTCCGTCACTATGTAGTCCAGCAGATGTTCTTGCTTGGACCCGGCATGCATCCATGATGTTGTGTGGATGCGCCGATGCCGGAACAGCGTGTTGGTAATTACAAGCCCATGGGCTGCACAAAAATCTAGCAGCCTCCTACCGTTGTTATTGAGCTGATCTGGCCCATGCCCTCCAATCGCTCCAGACCAGGTGCCAGCATCATGACCAACTTGGGCAGTGAAGTCACCCACCGAGATGATTCTATCCTGAGGGGCCACTTTAGCCAGCACCTGTGACAGGAGGTCATTGAAGGCATCTGACTCATCGGCTTTGCCTGCATCCCTCCACGGATGTTCATCTTTGGTGGGGGCATAAGTAACCACGACCACCATTCCTGCCTCTGGTTGATGGGAAGGCGAGCCCAAAGTAGCCTGGGGCTTACAGCTTCCCAAACCTCACCACCACGCCCCCATGCCCCCTTCATTCTTTTGTTCATAAGAAGAGCCACACCCTGTTGTTTGGCAGTCTGCTGCCCCGAGTAGAGGACTGTCTACCCCTCATGGTGGCAGGAGCCAGAACCGGTCCACCGGACCTCCTGAATGCTACAGAGATCCAGGCGGTACCGGTCCAGCTCCCGACAGAGGAGTGGCAGCCTCTCCTCCGCAGTGAGCGTTCGAACATTCCACGTGGCCACACGAAGTGGCTTTTCGTTGTTTCTGGAGGAGCCCCGAGGGTAGAGATTCAACCTCCTGGCTCCGCCAATTGGGGTTTGGCCAGGAGACGTTATAGACGCCTGTCCCCCCGGGGCCTCCGGCACAAGCTTATTGGTTAAATTTTTAATTCATGGCTTCGTGGTAATTTTTTGAAGGTGGAGGGGTTACCAGCCCCTTGCACCCATCCAGAGCCCCCGTTTAGCTACTGTGGTGGTCACAGATGCCATGAGGGGAGGGGCCAATCGGAATTGGCCCTCCCCCCACAGCACTGTCCACGACAGAGTTGCCCATCCGGCACCGCGAGGAGGTAGGGTGTTGTCTTGCCGGACCAGTGACACACACACACCTACACACACACCTACACACCTACACACACCTCTACACACACACACCTACACACAGGTCACCGGGTTCGTAGCACAGCATAGCGCTAACCACTACACCACCGCTCCCCACCAAAATACGTAGATGTAGGGGACACCAGAGCTTGGAGGAGGAGGGATGGGTGGTGGTGGGTGGTGGTGGGTGGTGGTGGTGGGTGGTGGTGGTGGGTGGCTGGCTGGGTGGCTGGGTGGGTGGGTGGGTGGGTGGGTGGGTGGCTGGGTGGCTGGGTGGGTGGGTGGCTGGGTGGCTGGGTGGGTGGGTGGCTGGGTGGGTGGCTGGGTGTCTAGGTGGGTGGCTGGGTGGGTGGCCGGCTGGTTGGGTGGGTGGGTGGCTGGGTGGGTGGGTGGGTTACTGGGTGGGAGGCTGGGTAGCTGGCTGGCTGGGGGGGTGGGTGGTGGGTGGGTGGCTGGGTGGCTGGGTGGGTAGCTGGCTGTGTGGGTGGGTGGCTGGCTGGCTGGCTGGGTGGCTGGCTGGGTGGGTGGGTGGCTGGCTGCGTAGCTGGCTGTGTGGGTGGGTGGCTGGCTGGCTGGCTGGGTGGGTGGGTAGCTGGCTGTGTGGGTGGGTGGCTGGGTGGCTGGGTGGGTGGCTGGGTAGCTGGCTGTGTGGGTGGGTGGCTGGCTGGCTGGCTGGGTGGCTGGCTGGGTGGGTGGGTGGCTGGGCAGCTGGCTGGGTAGCTGGCTGGCTGTGTGGCTGGTTGGCTGGCTGGCTGGGGGGGTGGGTGGTGGGTGGGTGGCTGGCTGGGTGGGTGGGTGGGTGGCTGGCTGGGTAGCTGGCTGGCTGTGTGGCTGGTTGGCTGGCTGGCTGGGGGGGTGGGTTGCTGGGTGGGAGGCTGGGTAGCTCGCTGTGTGGGTGGGTGGCTGGCTGGCTGGTTGGCTGGGTAGCTGGATGGGTGGGTGGGTGGCTGGGTAGCTGGCTGGCTGGTTGGCTGGTTGGCTGGGTAGCTGGCTGTGTGGGTGGGTGGCTGGCTGGGTGAGTGGCGCCCCCCCCCCCGCTCCGTCTCGCCTGCATGGCCACGGCGGAGCCGTAGACGGACGTCGCCGGCTCGGAGGCCTCCGCCTCCGCCGCCTGGAGCCGTCGCAGAAGGCCGCGGGCCGCCAGCTCTACATCGGCCGCCAGCTTCGGCGAGAGGCCGGAGCGGGCGGCGGGGCGCGAGGAGACGCAGGAGAGGGCCAGCGAGCACATGGACATCGTGCCTGGGGAGAGAGACACGCACGGGGAGAGAGAGACATGGTGAGAGAGACACACGGGGAGAGAGAGAGACACGGGGAGAGAGAGACACGGGGAGAGAGATATGGGGAGAGAGACGCGGAGAGAGAGACACGGAGAGAGAGACACGGGGAGAGAGAGACGCGGGGAGAGAGACACACGGGGAGAGAGAGAGACACGGGGAGAGAGAGACACGGAGAGAGAGACACGGGGAGAGAGACACGCACGGGGAGAGACACGGGGAGAGAGACACGAGGAGAGAGACGCGGAGAGAGAGATACGGGGAGAGAGACACGGGGAGAGAGACACGGGGAGAGAGACACGCACGGGGAGAGAGAGACACGAGGAGAGAGACGCGGAGAGAGAGATACGGGGAGAGAGACACGGGGAGAGAGACACGGGGAGAGAGACACGCACGGGGAGAGAGAGACACGGGGAGAGAGACGCGGAGAGAGAGATACGGGGAGAGAGACACGGGGAGAGAGACACGGGGAGAGAGACACGGGGAGAGAGAGACACGCACGGGGAGAGAGAGACACGGGGAGAGAGACGCGGAGAGAGAGATACGGGGAGAGAGAGACACGGGGAGAGAGAGACGCGGAGAGAGAGACACGGGGAGAGAGAGACACGCACGGGGAGAGAGAGACACGGTGAGAGAGACGCTGAGAGAGAGATACGGGGAGAGAGACACGGGGAGAGAGACACGGTGAGAGAGACACGGGGAGAGAGAGACACGGGGAGAGAGAGACACGGGGAGAGAGACACGGGGAGCGAGACACGCACGGGGAGAGAGAGACACGGTGAGAGAGACACGGTGAGAGAGACACGCGGAGAGAGAGACACGGGGAGAGAGACTTGGGGAGAGAGACACGGGGAGAGAGACACGCACGGGGAGAGAGACACGCACGGGGAGAGAGAGACACGGTGAGAGAGACACGGTGAGAGAGACACGCGGAGAGAGAGACACGGGGAGAGAGACACGGGGAGAGAGACACGGGGAGAGAGACACGGGGAGAGAGACACGGTGAGAGAGAGACGCGGAGAGAGAGACACGGGGAGAGAGAGACACGGGGAGAGAGAGACACGGGGAGAGAGACACGGGGAGAGAGACACGCACGGGGAGAGAGAGACACGGTGAGAGAGACACGGTGAGAGAGACACGCGGAGAGAGAGACACGGGGAGAGAGAGACGCGGGGAGAGAGACACACGGGGAGAGAGAGAGACACGGGGAGAGAGAGACACGGAGAGAGAGACACGGGGAGAGAGACACGCACGGGGAGAGACACGGGGAGAGAGACACGAGGAGAGAGACGCGGAGAGAGAGATACGGGGAGAGAGACACGGGGAGAGAGACACGGGGAGAGAGACACGGGGAGAGAGACACGCACGGGGAGAGAGAGACACGGGGAGAGAGACACGGGGAGAGAGACACGGGGAGAGAGACACGGGGAGAGAGACACGGGGAGAGAGACACGGGGAGAGAGAGACACGCACGGGGAGAGAGAGACACGGGGAGAGATACGCGGAGAGAGAGATACGGGGAGAGAGACACACGGGGAGAGAGAGACGCGGAGAGAGAGACACGGGGAGAGAGAGACACTCACGGGGAGAGAGAGACACGGTGAGAGAGACGCTGAGAGAGAGATACGGGGAGAGAGACACGGGGAGAGAGACACGGTGAGAGAGAGACGCGGAGAGAGAGACACGGGGAGAGAGAGACACGGGGAGAGAGAGACACGGGGAGAGAGACACGCACGGGGAGAGAGAGACACGGTGAGAGAGACACGGTGAGAGAGACACGCGGAGAGAGAGACACGGGGAGAGAGACTTGGGGAGAGAGACACGGGGAGAAAGACACGGGGAGAGAGACACGCACGGGGAGAGAGAGACACGGTGAGAGAGACACGGTGAGAGAGACACGCGGAGAGAGAGACACGGGGAGAGAGACACGGGGAGAGAGACACGGGGAGAGAGACACGGTGAGAGAGAGACGCGGAGAGAGAGACACGGGGAGAGAGAGACACGGGGAGAGAGAGACACGGGGAGAGAGACACGGGGAGAGAGACACGCACGGGGAGAGAGAGACACGGTGAGAGAGACACGGTGAGAGAGACACGCGGAGAGAGAGACACGGGGAGAGAGACTTGGGGAGAGAGACACGGGGAGAGAGACACGGGGAGAGAGACACGCACGGGGAGAGAGAGACACGGTGAGAGAGACACGGTGAGAGAGACACGCGGAGAGAGAGACACGGGGAGAGAGACACGGGGAGAGAGACACGGGGAGAGAGACACACGGGGAGAGAGAGACAGAGAGACACGGGGAGAGAGAGGCACGGGGAGAGAGACACGGTGAGAGAGACACGGTGAGAGAGACGCGGGGAGAGAGACACGGGGAGAGAGACACGGTGAGAGAGATACGGGGAGAGAGACACGGGGAGAGAGACACGGGGAGAGAGACACGGAGAGAGAGACACGGGGAGAGAGAGACACGGGGAGAGAGACACGGGGAGAGAGAGATACGGAGAGAAGGACACGGGGAGAGAGACATGGGGAGAGAGACGCGGAGAGAGAGATACGGGGAGAGAGAGACACGGGGAGAGAGACACGGGGAGAGAGACACGGGGAGACACGGGGAGAGAGACACGGGGAGAGAGACACGGTGAGAGAGACACGGGGAGAGAGACACGGGGAGAGAGACACGGGGAGAGAGACATGGGGAGAGAGACACGGGGAGAGAGACATGGGGTGAGAGAGACACGGGGAGAGAGACACGGTGAGAGAGACGCAGGGAGAGACACGGGGAGAGAGAGACACGGGGAGTGAGAGACACGGGGAGAGAGACACGGGAAGAAAGACGTGGAGAGAGAGAGACACGGGGAGAGAGAGACACGGGGAGAGAGAGAGAGATGCGGGGAGAGAGACACGGTGAGAGAGACACGGGGAGAGAGACACGGGGAGAGAGACATGGGGAGAGAGACACGGGGAGAGAGACATGGGGTGAGAGAGACACGGGGAGAGAGACACGGTGAGAGAGACGCAGGGAGAGTCACGGGGAGAGAGAGACATGGGGAGTGAGAGACACGGGGAGAGAGACACGGGAAGAAAGACGTGGAGAGAGAGAGACACGGGGAGAGAGAGACACGGGGAGAGAGAGAGATGCGGGGAGAGAGACACGGGGAGAGACGCGGGGAGAGAGACACGGGGAGAGAGACACGGGGAGAGAGAGAGACGCGGGGAGAGAGACACGCGGGGAGAGAGACACGGGGAGAGAGACATGGGGAGAGAGAGACACGGGGAGTGAGAGACACGGTGAGAAAAAGACGGGGAGAGAGACATGGGGAGAGAGACATGGGGAGAGAGACATGGGGAGAGAGACACGGGGAGAGAGACGCGGGGAGAGAGGCGCGGGGAGAGAGACACGGGGAGAGAGACGCTGAGAGAGAGATACGGGGAGAGAGACACGGGAAGAGAGACGTGGAGAGAGAGACGCGAGGAGAGAGACACGGGGAGAGAGAGACGCAGGGAGAGAGAGACACGCGGGGAGAGAGACACGGGGAGAGAGAGACGTGGGGAGAGAGACACGGTGAGAGAGACACGGGGAGAGAGACACGGGGAGAGAGAGACGCGGGGAGAGAGAGACACGCGGGGAGAGAGACACGGGGAGAGAGAGACACGCGGGGAGAGAAACACGGGGAGAGAGACGCAGGGAGAGACACACAGGGAGAGAGACACGGGGAGAGAGACACGGGGAGAGAGACACGGGGAGAGAAACACACGGGGAGAGAGACACGGGGAGAGAGACACGGGGAGAGAGACGCAGGGAGAGAGACACGGGGAGAGAGACGCGGTGAGAGAGAGACACGGGGAGAGAGACACGAGGAGAGAGACATGGGGAGAGAGACATGGGGAGAGAGAGACACGGGGAGAGAGACATAGGGAGAGAGAGACACAGAGAGAGAGACACGGGGAGAGAGACACGGTGAGAGAGAGACACGGGGAGAGAGACGCGGGGAGAGAGACACGGTGAGAGAGAGACACTGGGGGAGAGACGCAGGGAGAGAGACACCGGGAGAGAGACGCGGGGAGAGAGAGACACGGAGAGAGAGACACGGGGAGAGAGACACGGGGAGAGAGAGACACGGGGAGAGAGAGACACGGAGAGAGAGACACGGGGAGAGAGAGACACAGAGAGAGAGACACGGGGAGAGACACACGGGGAGAGAGAGACACGGCGAGAGAGAGACACGGGGAGAGAGACGCGGTGAGAGAGACACGGGGAGATAGACACGAGGAGAGAGAGACACGGTGAGAGAGACACGGTGAGAGAGACGCAGTGAGAGAGACACGGTGAGAGACACGGGGAGAGAGACACAGGGAGAGAGACACGGGGAGAAAGACACGAGGAGAGAGACACGGGGAGAGAGACACGGGGAGAGAGACACGGGGAGAGAGACACGGGGAGAGAGACGCGGGGAGAGAGACACGAGGAGAGAGATACACGGGGAGAGAGACGCGGGGAGAGAGACACGGGGAGAGAGACGCGGGAAGTGGTTGTCTGTGCGTGTCTGTGGGTGTCTGGGTGTGTCTGTGGGTGTCTTTGGTTGTCTGTGCGTGTCTGTAGGTGTCTGTGGGTGTCTGTGGGTGTCTGTGCGTGTCTGTGCGTGTCTGTGGGTGTCTGTAGGTGTCTGTGGGTGTCTTTGGTTGTCTGTGCGTGTCTGTGGGTGTCTGTGGGTGTCTGTGCGTGTCTGTGCGTGTCTGTGGGTGTCTGTGGTTGTCTGTGGGTGTCTGGGTGTGTCTGTGGGTGTCTTTGGTTGTCTGTGCGTGTCTGTAGGTGTCTGTGGGTGTCTGTGGGTGTCTGTGGGTGTCTGTGCATGTCTGTGGGTGTCTGTGCGTGTCTGTGCGTGTCTGTGGGTGTCTGTAGGTGTCTGTGGGTGTCTTTGGTTGTCTGTGCGTGTCTGTGCATGTCTGTGGGTGTCTGTGCGTGTCTGTGCGTGTCTGTGCGTGTCTGTGGGTGCCTGCGGGTGTCTGTGCATGTCTGTGCATGTCTGTGGGTGTCTGTGGGTGTTTCTGCGTGTCTGTGGGTGTCTGTGGGTGTCTGTGGGTGTCTGTGCATGTCTGTATGTGTCTGTGGGTGTCTGTGGGTGTCTGTAGGTGTCTGTTGGTGTCTGTGGGTGTCTGTGCGTGTCTGTGGGTGTCTGTGGGTGTCTGTGGGTGTCTGTGCGTGTCTGTGGGTGTCTGTAGGTGTCTGTGGGTATCTGTGCTTGTCTGTGGGTGTCTGTGCGTGTCTGTGTGTGTCTATAGGTGTCTGTGGGTATCTGTGCTTGTCTGTGGGTGTCTGTGCGTGTCTGCGTGTGTCTATAGGTGTCTGTGGGTATCTGTGGGTGTTTGTGGGTGTCTGTGGGTGTCTGTGGGTGTCTGTGGGTGTCTGTGCGTGTCTGTGTGTGTCTATAGGTGTCTGTGGGTATCTGTGCTTGTCTGTGGGTGTCTGTGCGTGTCTGTGTGTGTCTATAGGTGTCTGTGCGTGTCTGTGGGTGTTTGTGGGTGTCTGTGGGTGTCTGTGCGTGTCTGTGCATGTCTGTGGGTGTCTGTGCGTGTCTGTGTGTGTCTATAGGTGTCTGTGCGTGTCTGTGGGTGTTTGTGGGTGTCTGTGGGTGTCTGTGCGTGTCTGTGCATGTCTGTGGGTGTCTGTGCGTGTCTGTGCGTGTCTGTGGGTGTCTGTGCGTGTCTGTGTGTGTCTATAGGTGTCTGTGCGTGTCTGTGGGTGTTTGTGGGTGTCTGTGGGTGTCTGTGCGTGTCTGTGCATGTCTGTGGGTGTCTGTGCGTGTCTGTGTGTGTCTATAGGTGTCTGTGCGTGTCTGTGGGTGTTTGTGGGTGTCTGTGGGTGTCTGTGCGTGTCTGTGCATGTCTGTGGGTGTCTGTGCGTGTCTGTGCGTGTCTGTGGGTGTCTGTGCGTGTCTGTGGGTGTCTTTGCGTGTCTGTCTGTGTCTGTAGGTGTCTGTGGGTGTCTTTCCGTGTCTGTCTGTGTCTGTAGGTGTCTGTGCGTGTCTGTGGGGGTCTTTGCGTGTCTGTCTGTGTCTGTGGGTGTCTGTGCGTGTCTCTGGGTGTCTGTGCGTGTCTGTGGGTGTCTGTGCGTGTCTGTGGGTGTCTGTGCGTGTCTGTGCCTGTCTGTGGGTGTCTGTGGGTTCCTATGCATGTCTGTGCGTGTCTGTAAGTAACTGTTGGTGTCTGTGGGTGTCTGTAAGTAACTGTTGGTGTCTGTGGGTGTCTGTGCATGTCTGTGTGTGTCTGTAGGTGTCTGTGCGTGTCTGTGCGTGTCTGTGGGTGTCTGTGGGTGTCTGTGGGTGCCTGTGGGTGCCTGTGGGTGTCTGTGCGTGTCTGTGGGTGTCTGTGGGTGTCTGTGGGTGTCTGTGGGTGTCTGTGCGTGTCTGTGGGTGTCTGTGCGTATCTGTGGGTGTCTGTGCGTGTCTGTGGGTGTCTGTGGGTGTCTGTGGGTGTCTGTGCGTGTCTGTGGGTGTCTGTGCGTATCTGTGGGTGTCTGTGCGTGTCTGTGGGTGTCTGTGTGTGTCTGTGCGTGTCTGTGGGTATCTGTGGGTGTCTGTGCGTGTCTGTGGGTGTCTGTGCGTGTCTGTGGGTGTCTGTGGGTGTCTGTGGGTGCCTGTGGGTGTCTGTGCGTGTCTGTGGGTGTCTGTGGGTGTCTGTGCGTGTCTGTGCGTGTGTCTGTAGGTGTCTGTGGGTGTCTGTGTGTGTCTGTAGGTGTCTGTGCGTGTCTGTGGGTGTCTGTGCGTGTCTGTGGGTGTCTGTGCGTGTCTGTGCGTGTCTGTGGGTGTCTGTGCGTATCTGTGGGTGTCTGTGCGTGTCTGTGGGTGTCTGTGTGTGTCTGTGCGTGTCTGTGGGTATCTGTGGGTGTCTGTGCGTGTCTGTGGGTGTCTGTGCGTGTCTGTGGGTGTCTGTGTGTGTCTGTGCGTGTCTGTGGGTGTCTGTGGGTGTCTGTGCGTGTCTGTGGGTGTCTGTGCGTGTCTGTAGGTGTCTGTGCGTGTCTGTGGGTGTCTGTGCGTGTCTGTGGGTGTCTGTGCGTGTCTGTGGGTGTCTGTGCCTGTCTCTGGGTGTCTGTGTGTCTCTGTGGGTGTCTGTGGGTGTCTGTGCGTGTCTGTGTATGTCTGTAGGTGTCTGTGCGTGTCTGTGCGTGTCTGTGGGTGTCTGTCGCCTCACTGTGTTTGTCTGTGGGTGTCTGTGGGTGTCTGTCGCCTCACTGTGTTTGTCTGTGGGTGTCTGTGGGTGTCTGTCGCCTCACTGTGTTTGTCTGTGGGTGTCTGTGGGTGTCTGTCGCCTCACTGTGTTTGTCTGTGCGTGTCTGTGGGTGTCTGTCGCCTCACTGTGTTTGTCTGTGCGTGTCTGTGGGTGTCTGTCGCCTCACTGTGTTTGTAGGTGTCTGTGGGTGTCTGTGCCTGTCTGTGCCTGTCTGTGCCTGTCTGTGGGTGTCTGTGGGTGTCTGTGCGTGTCTGAGGGTGTCTGTCGCCTCACTGTGTTTGTCTGTGGGTGTCTGTGGGTGTCTGTCGCCTCACTGTGTTTGTCTGTGCGTGTCTGTGGGTGTCTGTCGCCTCACTGTGTTTGTAGGTGTCTGTGGGTGTCTGTGCCTGTCTGTGCCTGTCTGTGGGTGTCTGTGGGTGTCTGTGCGTGTCTGAGGGTGTCTGTCGCCTCACTGTGCTTGTCTGTGCGTGTCTGTGGGTGTCTGTCGCCTCACTGTGCTTGTCTGTGCGTGTCTGTGGGTGTCTGTCGCCTCACTGTGTTTATCTGTGCGTGTCTGTGGGTGTCTGTCGCCTCACTGTGCTTGTCTGTGGGTGTCTGTCGCCTCACTGTGTTTGTCTCCGGGGCATCGCTGGAAGTCTTCCCACGAGGCGTCGACGAGGATCGAGGCGACGTCGGGATCCACGGGCAGGTCGGACACGCAGAGAGACAGCGCGGACAGGGACAGCGCGTAGAAGCTGCTGAGAGGACACGCGTCTAGACGGACACACGCACGGGACACACGCGTCTAGACAGACACACACAGGGGGAGAGACACACGTCTAGACAGACACACACAGGGGGAGAGACACACGTCTAGACAGACACACACATGGGGAGAGACACACGTCTAGACGTACACACACAGGGGAGAGACACACGTCTAGACAGACACACACAGGGGGAGAGACACGTCTAGACAGACACACACAGGGGGAGAGACACGTCTAGACAGACACACACAGGGGAGAGGCACGCGTCTAGACGGACACACACACACGTCTAGACGTGTACACACACACATGTCTAGACGTACACACACACGCGTCTATACAGACCACACACACGCGTCTAGACATATACACACACACACGCGTCTAGACGTACACACACACACGCGTCTAGACATGTACACACACACACGCGTCTATACAGACCACACACACACATCGTCTAGACATATACACACACACGTCTAGACGTACACACACACGCGTCTAGACGTACACACACGCGTCTAGACGTACACACACACGTATCTAGACGTACACAAACACACACGTCTAGACATACACAAACGCGTCTAGACATACACACACACACGCGTCTATACAGACCACACACACACACGCGTCTAGACGTACACACACACACGCGTTTAGACGTACACACACACACGCGTCTAGACGTACACACACACACACGTCTAGACGTACACACACACGCGTCTAGACATACACACACACACGCGTCTATACAGACCACACACACACACGCGTCTAGACGTACACACACACACACGCGTCTATACAGACCACACACACACACGCGTCTAGACATACACACACACACGCGTCTATACAGACCACACACACACACGCGTCTAGACGTACACACACACACACGCGTCTATACAGACCACACACACACACGCGTCTAGACGTACACACACACACACGCGTCTATACAGACCACACACACACACGCGTCTAGACGTACACACACACACACGTCTAGACGTACACACACACACACGCGTCTATACAGACCACACACACACACGCGTCTAGACGTACACACACACACACGCGTCTATACAGACCACACACACACACGCGTCTAGACGTACACACACACACACACACGTCTAGACGTACACACACACGTGTCTAGACGTACACACACGTGTCTAGACGTGTACACACACACGTCTAGACGTGTACACACACGTGTCTATACGTACACACACACGCGCGTCTAGACGTGTACACACACACGTCTAGACGTACACACACACACACACGCATGTCTAGACGTGTACACACACACACACACACGTGTCTAGACACACACACACGTCTAGACGTACACACACACACGTGTCTAGACGTGTACACACACACACACGCGTCTAGACACGTGTGTGTGTGTACACACGTGTCTAGACGTGTACACACGTGTCTAGACACACACACACACACGTGTCTAGACGTGTACACACACACACACGTCTAGACGTGTGTGTGTGTGTACACACGTATCTAGACACACACACTCGTGTCTAGACATGTACACACACACGTGTCTAGACGTGTACACACACACACACGTCTAGACACGTGTACACACACGTGTCTAGACGTGTACACACACACACACGTGTCTAGACGTGTACACACACACACGTGTCTAGACGTGTACACACACACACACGTCTAGACACGTGTACACACACGTGTCTAGACGTGTACACACACACGTGTCTAGACGTACACACACACGTGTCTATACGTGTACACACACACACACACACGTCTAGACGTGTACACACACACGTGTCTAGACGTACACACACACGTGTCTAGACGTGTGTGTGTGTGTGTACACACGTGTCTAGATGTGTACTCTCACACACACGCGTGTCTAGACGTGTACACACACACACACACGTGTCTAGACGTGTACACACACACACATGTCTACACACACACACGTGTCTAGACACACACACACGTGTCTAGACGTGTACACACACACACACACACGCGTCTATACGTGTACACACACACACACGCGTCTAGACGTACACACACACACGTGTCTAGACGTACACACACACACGCGTCTAGACGTACACACACACGTGTCTAGACGTGTGTGTGTGTGTGTACACACGTGTCTAGACACACACACACAGTGTCTATACGTGTACACACACACGTGTCTATACGTGTACACACACACACACACACGTGTCTAGACGTGTGTGTGTGTGTGTACACACGTGTCTAGACGTGTGTGTGTGTGTGTACACACGTGTCTAGACGTGTGTGTGTGTGTGTGTACACACGTGTCTAGACGTGTGTGTGTGTGTGTACACACGAGTGTCTAGACGTGTGTGTGTGTGTGTACACACGTGTCTAGACGTGTACTCTCACACACTGGGCGAGGGGCTACTCACGCCGACGCAGCCACTTCCGCTCCGTGTCCACGGCCCGCCTCAGGGAGCTCCCCACGTCGACCTTCTCGCGCCCGACCCTCACGCCACTCGTCACACGCTCGCCGGCAGAGCGCAGCCACAGCAGGAGTAGAGCGAGCAGGCCGGGACGGCTGGGGAGAGACACGGCGTGTGGGTGTGTCACTCACTGTGTGTGTCACTGTGTGTGTGTGTCACTCACTGTGTGGGTGTGTCACTCACTCACTCACTGTGTGTCACTCACTGTGTGTGACTGTGTGTGTCACTGTGTGTCACTGTGTGTGTCACTGTGTGTGTCACTCACTCACTGTGTGTGTCACTCACTGTGTGTGAGTGTCACTGTGAGTGTCACTCACTGTGTGTCACTCACTGTGTGTGAGTGTCACTGTGTGTGTCACTCACTCACTGTGTGTCACTGTGTGTGTCACTCACTCACTGTGTGTCACTGTGTGTGTCACTCACTGTGTGTGAGTGTCACTGTGAGTGTCACTCACTGTGTGTCACTCACTGTGTGTGAGTGTCACTGTGTGTGTCACTCACTCACTGTGTGTCACTGTGTGTGTCACTCACTGTGTGTGTGTGGGTGTGTCACTCACTCACTCACTGTGTGTCACTCACTGTGTGTGGGTGTGTCACTCACTCACTTTGTGTGGGTGTCACTCACTGTGTGTGACTGTGTGTGTCACTGTGTGTCACTCACTCACTGTGTGTGTCACTGTGTGTGTCACTCACTCACTGTGTGTGTCACTCACTCACTATGTGTGTCACTCACTGTGTGTGACTGTGTGTGTGTCACTGTGTGTGTGTCACTCACTCACTCACTGTGTGTCACTGTGTGTGTGTCACTGTGTGTGTGTCACTGTGTGTGTGTCACTCACTCACTCACTGTGTGTCACTGTGTGTGTGTCACTGTGTGTGTGTCACTCACTCACTCACTGTGTGTCACTGTGTGTGTCACTCACTCACTCACTGTGTGTGTGTGTCACTCACTCACTGTGTGTGTCACTCACTGTGTGTGTGTGTCACTCACTGTGTGTGTGTGTCACTCACTGTGTGTGTGTGTGTCACTCACTCACTGTGTGTGTCACTCACTCACTGTGTGTGTCACTGTGTGTGTCACTCACTCACTGTGTGTGTGTCACTCACTCACTCACTGTGTGTGTCACTCACTGTGTGTGTCACTCACTCACTGTGTGTCACTCACTGTGTGTCACTGTGTGTGTCACTCACTCACTGTGTGTGTCACTCACTCACTGTGTGTGTGTCACTCACTCACTCACTGTGTGTGTCACTCACTCACTCACTGTGTGTGTCACTCACTCACTGTGTGTGTCACTCACTCACTGTGTGTGTGTCACTCACTCACTCACTGTGTGTGGGTGTCACTCACTCACTGTGTGTGTCACTCACTGTGTGTGTCACTCACTCACTGTGTCACTCACTCACTCACTGTGTCACTCACTCACTGTGTGTGTGTGTCACTCACTCACTCACTGTGTGTCACTCACTGTGTGTGTGTCATTGTGTGTGTGTCACTGTGTGTGTCACTCACTCACTGTGTGTGTCACTCACTGTGTGTGTCACTCACTCACTCACTGTGTGTCACTCACTGTGTCACTCACTCACTGTGTGTGTCACTCACTCACTGTGTCACTCACTCACTGTGTGTGTCACTCACTCACTCACTGTGTGTGAGTGTCACTCACTCACTCACTGTGTGTCACTCACTGTGTCACTCACTCACTGTGTGTGTCACTCACTCACTGTGTGTGTCACTCACTGTGTGTGTCACTCACTGTGTGTGTGTGTCACTCACTGTGTGTGTGTCACTCACTCACTGTGTGTGTCACTCACTCACTGTGTGTGTGTCACTCACTGTGTGTGTCACTCACTCACTGTGTGTGTCACTCACTCACTGTGTGTGTCACTCACTGTGTGTGTGTCACTCACTTTGTGTGTGTGTCACTCACTCACTCACTGTGTGTCACTCACTGTGTGTGTGTCACTCACTCACTGTGTGTGTCACTCACTCACTGTGTGTGTGTCACTCACTGTGTGTGTCACTCACTCACTGTGTGTGTCACTGTGTGTCACTCACTCACTGTGTGTCACTGTGTGTGTCACTCACTCACTGTGTGTGTCACTCACTCACTGTGTCACTCACTCACTGTGTCACTCACTGTGTGTGAGTGTCACTCACTGTGTGTGTGTGTCACTCACTCACTCACTTACTGTGTGTGTCACTCACTCACTCACTGTGTGTGTCACTCACTCACTGTGTGTCACTCACTCACTCACTGTGTGTGTCACTCACTCACTGTGTGTCACTCACTTTGTGTGTGTGTCACTCACTCACTCACTGTGTGTCACTGTGTGTGTGTCACTCACTCACTGTGTGTGTGTGTCACTCACTCACTGTGTCACTCACTTACTGTGTGTGTCACTCACTGTGTGTCACTGTGTGTGTCACTCACTCACTTTGTGTGGGTGTCACTGTGTGTGTCACTCACTCACTGTGTGTGTGTGTCACTCACTCACTCACTGTGGGTGTCACTCACTCACTGTGTCACTCACTCACTGTGTCACTCACTCACTCTGTGTCACTCACTCACTGTGTGTCACTCACTCACTTTGTGTGGGTGTCACTCACTCACTCACTGTGTGTGAGTGTCACTCACTCACTCACTGTGTGTCACTCACTGTGTGTGTCATTGTGTGTGTGTCACTGTGTGTGTCACTCACTCACTGTGTGTGTCACTCACTCACTCACTGTGTCACTCACTCACTGTGTGTGTGTCACTCACTGTGTGTGTCACTGTGTGTGTCACTGTGTGTGTCACTCACTGTGTGTGTGTGTCACTCACTGTGTGTCACTGTGTGTGTCACTCACTCACTGTGTGTCACTCACTGTGTGTGTGTCATTGTGTGTGTGTCACTGTGTGTGTCACTCACTCACTGTGTGTGTCACTCACTCACTCACTGTGTCACTCACTCACTGTGTGTGTGTGTCACTCACTGTGTGTCACTCACTGTGTGTGTGTGGGTGTGTCACTCACTCACTCACTGTGTGTCACTGTGTGTGTCACTCACTCACTGTGTGTGAGTGTCACTCACTCACTGTGTGTGTCACTGTGTGTGTCACTCACTCACTGTGTGTGTGTCACTCACTCACTCACTGTGTGTGGGTGTCACTCACTCACTGTGTGTGTCACTCACTGTGTGTGTGTGTCACTCACTCACTGTGTCACTCACTCACTCACTCACTGTGTCACTCACTCACTGTGTGTGTGTGTCACTCACTCACTCACTGTGTGTGTCACTCACTGTGTGTGTGTCATTGTGTGTGTGTCACTGTGTGTGTCACTCACTCACTGTGTGTGTCACTCACTCACTGTGTGTGGGTGTCACTCACTCACTCACTGTGTATGTGTCACTGTGTGGGTGTCACTGTGTGTGTCTCTCACTGTGTGTCACTCACTCACTGTGTGTGTCACTCACTGTGTGTGTGTGTCACTCACTCACTGTGTGTGTCACTCACTGTGTGTGTGTGTCACTCACTCACTGTGTCACTCACTCACTCACTGTGTCACTCACTCACTGTGTGTGTGTGTCACTCACTGTGTGTGTCACTCACTGTGTATGTGTCACTGTGTGTGTCACTCACTCACTGTGTGTGTCACTCACTCACTGTGTGTGTCACTGTGTGTGTCACTCACTCACTGTGTGTGTCACTCACTCACTCACTGTGTGTGTCACTCACTCACTGTGTGTGTCACTCACTCACTCACTCACTGTGTCACTCACTCACTGTGTGTGTGTCACTCACTCACTCACTGTGTGTGTCACTCACTCACTGTGTGTGTCACTCACTCACTCACTCACTGTGTGTGTCACTCACTTACTGTGTGTGTCACTCACTGTGTGTGTGTCACTGTGTGTGTCACTCACTCACTGTGTGTGTCACTCACTGTGTGTGTCACTTACTGTGTGTGTGGGAAAACAACCCCCTACCTCCTCGCGATGCCGGATGGGCAACTCTGTCGTGGACAGTGCTGTGGGGGGAGGGCCAATTCCGATTGGTTCCTCCCCTCATGGCGTCTGTGATCACCACAGGGGCTAAACGGGGGCTCTGGACGGGTGCGAGGGGCTGGTAACCCCTCCACCTTCAATTAATTACCACTAAACCACGAGTTAAACTGAAATATGTAACTAATACGCTTGTGCCGGAGGCCCCGGGGGGCCAGGCGTCTATGACGTCTCCTGGCCAAACCCCAATTGGCGGAGCCAGGAGATTGAATCTCTACCCTCGGGGCTCCTCCAGAAACAACGAAAAGCCACTACGGATGGCCACGTGGAATGTTCGAACGCTCACTGCGGAGGAGAGGCTGCCACTCCTCTGTCGGGAGCTGGACCGGTACTGCCTGGATCTCTGTGGCATTCAGGAGGTCCGGTGGGCCGGTTCTGGCTCCTGCCACCATGAGGGGTGGACAGTTCTCTACTCGGGGCAACAGACTGCCAAACAACAGGGTGTGGCTCTTCTTTTGAGCAAAAGAATGAAGGGGGCGTGGGAGCATGGCGGTGAGGTGTGGGAAGCTGTAAGCCCCAGGCGACTTTGGGCTCGCCTTCCCATCAACCGGAGGCGAGGAGTGGTGGTAGTGGTTACTTATGCCTCCACCGAAGATGAACATCCGTGGAGGGATGCAGGCAAAGCCGATGAGTCAGATGCCTTCTATGACCTCCTGTCACAGGTGCTGGCTAAAGTGGCACCTCGGGATAGAGTCATCATGTTGGGTGACTTCAATGCCCGAGTTGGTCATGATGCTGGCACCTCGTCTGCAGTGATTGGAGGGCATGGGCCAGATCAGCTCAATAACAACGGTAGGAGGCTGCTAGATTTTTGTGCAGCCCATGGGCTTGTAATTACCAACACGCTGTTCCGGCATCGGCGCATCCACACAACATCATGGATGCATGCCGTGTCCAAGCAAGAACATCTGCTGGACTACATAGTGACGGACCAGCGGATGCGAGCCCATGTCCTTGACACCAGGACCTACCGTGGAGCTGATCTGCCTTCTGACCATCGACTAGTCATCTGTAAGATGCGCCTGCCATTCTTCCACTCCAGTGGTGGGTGTACACCCAGGACCCCATTCCAACCTATTGTGGCCTGGTCTCAGTTATCTGATGAAAGTTGCAAGCGAGAATTTAATCAGCTCTTCTAGATTTGAAGCTTTCGTGACTGCAAGGATCCACACTCTTTGGTTCTATTCGGTAAAGTCACGTAGGTAAAAAATTAAGCAACGAAAAAATCACGACGTTTCAACCACAACACAAGCGGCCTTCATCAGGTGAAGGGACCGTGCTGTCACGAAGACAGCGTTGGAATCAAGAAAGTCAAGCCAGGTCGCGTGCTTTAAGCTGTGTGGGAGGAAACCAAACGCTTTGACAAAGTAATCAGCATGAAGTGCTGATAGAACACTTAAAGTGCTGATCGAACACTTAACACGGGGGAGGGGGAGGAGGAGGGGAATTTGACAATGCAAGAGTTGTGTTGAAGGGGAATAAGCTGCTGTGAAAGTTTGGAATATCACTACTGGATAAATATACTGTACCATTGAAATTAGTTTAATGTTTGGTATGATTTAGAACATCTTTCCAATGATTGCTTAATTTGAAACCATCTTCTCGGTTGAAATTGTGTCTGTGTTTGTAGATCTGAATTGCCTCGTGAACAAATCTTTGATAAAAACCCGTGGGTTTGCAAAGGACCTGGGTATCGGAGAACACTATATCGTGATCACCCACAGCATTGTAACAGTGATCAGCTACGGCAGAAGAATTCGTTCTGCCGTGTTTCAAATCTGATTTGTGCTCGCGAATTCGGTCAGAGACATGTCGCTTCGTCTCCCCGATATAGCAATCACCGCAGGTACAACTCAATTTGTAAACCCCGGGGTACTGTAAGTCAGGAATGACATCCTTCACGGATGGGATCAGATCACGAATTTTGTGTACTGTATTGAACCGGACTGGGATCTTGTGTTTGTTTAGAATTTTGGAAATATTTTTAGTAACGCCTGCTATATATGGCAAGTCTACCATTCTTAGATGTTCTGTTTGAGAGGAGACCTGATGGCTCATTGGGGCATTCTGCCTACAGGAAACCCACCCACACAGATTCCTACTTGAAACCTGATTCCCACCACCACCCAGCTCAAAAGAATTCTCTCATCAAAACTTTATACCATAGGGCTCATTGCATTTCGGACCAGCACCACCTGACCAGTGAATTAAAACATGTACACCTGGCCCTCAAGAGAAACGGATACTCTGACCGTACCATCCGCCAAGCTGTTTCTCCTACCATACAGAAACAACCACTTGATACTCCGGTCAAAACCATCACACTACCCCCGTGTTAAGTGTTCGATCAGCACTTTATGGTAATTCCTTTGTCAAAGCGTTTGGCTTCCTCCCACACAGCTTAAAGCACGCGGCCTGGCTTGACTTTCTTGATTCCAACGCTGTCTTCGTGACAGCACGGTCCCTTCACCTGATGAAGGCCACTTGTGTTGTGGCCGAAACGACGTGATTTTTCGTTGCTTTATTTTTTACCTACTACGTGACTTTACCGATTAGAACCAAAGAGTAATTTCATCATCGCTTGTGGCTGGGATTGGCATCATCCCCCACTCCTCCTGATGTCGAGGGTAAATGGGCGAGGTTTAGGACTGTGACTCATGCAGCTGCAATGGCTGCTTTGGGTACGCGGTCCAGACCTCCCCAGAGACCCTGGCTGACAGAGGAGGTGTTCAGGATGGTTGAGAAAAAGCGACAGGCCCACTGTCATCGGCTACAGAATCCCACGTCAGAGAATGAGGATGCTTACCGCAGCCTTCGCTCGGAGGTTCGGAGAGCTGCGAGGCGCTGCAAGGATGGGTGGTGGTCGCGGGTTGCTGAGGAGATGGAGTCTGCCTCAGTGGCCCGTGATCACAAATCTCTATTTAACTCCATCTAAAAAGTAACCTGCAGTGCCACACCTATTACCATCATTAGAGGAAAAAACGGTGATCCAATCTCCGACCCCCAGGAACAGGTTTGCAGATTTGCTGAGCATTTCTGTTAGGTCCTGGGGGAGGGAAAATCTCTCAGCCAGGAAAACATCGTGGCACAAAGTGAGGATGACCCTGCTGAGGCTGCGGTGCCTCAAATATTGGAAGAAGTCACCCCCTGTGAGTGGCTGGCTGAAGTACCATCTGTTGAGAAAGTACTGAAGGCAATCCGGAGTCTGAGACCAGGAAAGGCAGCGGGCAGAGATGATCTCCCAAGCGAAATGCTGAGGGAAGGTGGCGTTTGTGCACAGACTGCCCTATATGACATCATAACAACAGTCTGGACCACTGGACGGGTTCCGCAGGATTGGAAGGATGCCCTGGTGGTCCCCCTCTTTAAGAAGGGGGACCACACAGACTGTAACAACTACAGGGGCATCTCACTCCTCAGTGTGCCAGGAAAAGTCCTGGCAAGGATTATTCAACATCGCCTTGCCAGGCACGCTGAGGAGAGGCTTGCAGAGCCCCAATGCGGTTTCAGGAAAGGGCGGCCCTGCACAGATGCCATATTTTCTGTCCGTCTGCTACAGCAGAGGTGTAGGGAATTCCAGCAAGACCTACATCTCTGCTTTTGACCTGGTCAAGGCCTATGATACCATCAGTAGGCCTGGGCTCTGGGTTGTTCTTCGGGCTTTTGGAGTACCTGACCCTCTACTCACGATCATTAAGGACCTTCATGATGGTGAGCGGGCCCGGGTAAAATTACGTGTCCGGGAGTCAGAGCCATTCCCTGTACACCTTGGGGTGCGACAGGGATGTCCTCTGGCTCCCACATTATTTAACATCTATTTTGACCACGTAGTTCATGAAGCCTTCAATAGCTGTACCGGGGGAATCTCCATAGAGTTTCCCATACCTGGGCAGTGTGCTTATGACCGGCTCCAGTTTAACAGCAGAGGTCTCACTCCGAATCAGTCGAGCGGCAATATCTTTTCATCGGTTGCGTAACGCTGTGTGGAAGCTACCTGGTCTGTCGCTCCGCAAAAAGCTTCAGGTCTTCTCGGCCACGGTCATTCCCTCCCTTCTCTACGCTTGCGAAACGTGGACCCCCCCTAATGGAACATCTTCGCCGGTTAGAAACATTTAGGCTGGCCTGCCTACGATCCATCCTGGGTTTAACCAGACTGGATTGTGTGAGGAGCTCACAAATCCTTGAAAGATCTGGGCACGGTCCCATTGGTGAGCTCCTCCGGCAGGCAAGGCTGCATTGGCTGGGTCATGTAGCCTGCATGCCCAGCCACCGCATGCCGAAACAGCTTTTGTTCGGCCAGATTGAGGGGGCTAAACGGGCGCGGCACGGGCTAGAGAAGAGATGGAGTGATGTGGTACAGGAGGACGTGGAGCTGAGTGGACTTGCCGATGACCGGTACCAGCGGTGTCAAGATCAGCCTCTGTGGAGGAGGCTCGTGAAGGACGCTACTGGGCAGTTGGAGGCAGTCGCCCTCCAACAACAACGGAGGGCAGAGGAGCGACGCTCACAACAACGAGCAGAGTGCCGGGTGGCTAAAGCACAGCAGGTTGGCACAGTAGGGGGCACAGGTGGTGCATCAGCCAGTCATCTCAGTCATCTCAGTCAGTCGACCCGTGGCACCTGGGTCTGCCCCGTGACCTCCATGTCTCTCACTCTCTCTATCTCTCTCTCTCCACGTCTCTCTCTCTCTCCCTGTGTACGTGCACAGGGAGAGAGAGAAACACACTCTCTATCTCTCTCTCTATCTCTCTCTCTATCTCTCTCTCCATGTCTCTCTATCTCTCTCTCCATGTCTCTCTATATCTCTCTCTATCTCTCTATATCTCTCTCCATGTCTCTCTCTCTATCTCTCTCTCTCTATCTCTCTCTCTCTATCTCTCTCTCTATCTCTCTCTCTATCTCTCTCTCCATGTCTCTCTCTCTATCTCTCTCTCTATCTCTCTCTATCTATCTCTCTCTCTATCTCTCTCTCCATGTCTCTCTCTCTATCTCTCTCTCTATCTCTCTCTCTCTCTATCTCTCTCTCCATGTCTCTCTCTCTATCTCTCTCTATCTCTCTCTATCTCTCTCTATCTCTCTATCTCTCCACGTCTCTCTCTCCACGTCTCTCTCTCTATCTCTCTCTATATATCTCTCTATCTCTCTCTCTATCTCTCTCTATCTCTTTATCTCTCTATCTCTCTCTCCACGTCTCTCTCTATCTCTCTCTATATATCTCTCTCTCTATCTCTCTCTCTCTCTCTCCACGTCTCTCTCTCTCCCTGTGTGCGTGCACACGCCGGACCCCCCCCCGCCCCCCCCCCCCCCCCCCCCCCCGCCCCCGCCCCCCCCCGCCCCCCCCCCTCTCCTACCCTCGCTCCGACACCACCACCCCAGGCAGAGCGTCCCTCAGTGCCTTGTGGCGGCGACGGAGGTCGGCGTCTCCGGCGCCGCTGCCGTCCCTCCAGCAGGTCTCGCCGGCCTGCGCGAGGCTCAGGCCCAGCTGAATCAGCGGACTGGGGCAGGTGAACAGGGACTGGCAGCGGCCCCCAGCAACGTGACCACCGCCGGCATCACCGCCGGCATCACCGCCGGCATCATCGGCGGCATCATCGGTGGCGGCATCATCGGCGGCATCATCGGCGGCACCACCAGCGGCACTCTCAGCTCGCCGGAGGACGTTCAGGAGGATGCCAGTGGCCTCGGTGAGCCCCTCGCTGGAACCTGCCAGAGGGAGAGAGGGGAGAGAGGGGAGTGTAGTAGTGTAGTGGTGTAGTGTAGTAGTAGTGTAGTGTGTAGTGTAGTGTGTAGTGTAGTGTATAGTGTATAGTAGTGTAGTGTAGTGTATAGTGTAGTAGTGTAGTGTAGTAGTGTAGTGTAGTGTGTAGTGTGGTGTTTAGTGTAGTGTGTAGTGTGTGGTGTAGTGTAGTGTAGTGTGTAGTAGTGTAGTAGTGTAGTGTAGTAGTAGTGTAGTAGTAGTGTAGTGTGGTGTAGTGTGTAGTGTGGTGTAGTAGTGTAGTGTAGTAGTGTAGTGGAGTGTGTAGTGTAGTGTGTAGTGTAGTGTGTAGTGTGGTGTGTAGTAGTGTAGTGTGTAGTGTAGTGTGGTGTTTAGTGTAGTGTGTAGTGTAGTGTGTAGTGTAGTGTGGTGTAGTAGTGTAGTGGAGTGTGTAGTAGTGTAGTGTAGTGTGTGGTGTAGTGTAGTGTGTAGTAGTGTAGTGTGTAGTGTAGTGTGTAGTGTGGTGTGTAGTGTGGTGTGTAGTGTAGTGTGTAGTGTAGTAGTGTAGTGTGTAGTGTAGTGTGTAGTGTAGTGTGTAGTAGTGTTTAGTGTAGTGTAGTGTGTAGTAGTGTAGTGTAGTGTGTAGTGTAGTGTGTAGTATAGTGTGTAGTGTAGTGTGTAGTGTAGTGTGTAGTGTAGTGTAGTGTGTAGTGTAGTAGTGTGTAGTGTAGTGTAGTAGTGTAGTGTGTAGTGTAGTGTAGTAGTGTAGTGTAGTAGTGTAGTGTGTAGTGTAGTAGTGTGTAGTGTAGTGTAGTAGTGTAGTGTGTAGTGTAGTAGTGTAGTGTAGTAGTGTAGTGTGTAGTGTAGTGTGTAGTGTAGTGTGTAGTGTAGTGTAGTGTGTAGTGTGTAGTAGTGTAGTGTAGTAGTGTAGTGTGTAGTGTAGTGTATAGTGTAGTGTATAGTAGTGTAGTGTAGTGTGTAGTAGTGTGTAGTGTATAGTGTAGTAGTGTAGTGTAGTGTGTAGTGTAGTGTGTAGTGTAGTGTAGTGTGTAGTGTAGTGTGTAGTAGTGTAGTGTGTAGTGTAGTGTGGTGTGTAGTGTATAGTGTAGTGTAATGTGTAGTGTGTAGTGTATAGTGTAGTGTAGTGTGTAGTGTAGTGTGTAGTGTATAGTAGTGTAGTGTGTAGTGTAGTGTGTAGTGTAGTGTAGTGTGTAGTGTAGTGTGTAGTGTGTAGTGTAGTGTGTAGTGTAGCGTATAGTGTAGTGTGTAGTGTAGTGTGTAGTGTAGTGTGTAGTGTATAGTGTAGTGTGGTGTGTAGTGTAGTGTGTAGTGTAGTGTGTAGTGTAGTGTGTAGTGTAGTGTAGTGTGTAGTGTAGTGTGTAGTGTAGTGTAGTGTGCAGTGTAGTGTGTAGTGTAGTGTGTAGTGTAGTAGTGTAGTGTGTAGTGTAGTGTGTAGTGTATAGTGTAGTGTGTAGTGGAGTGTGTAGTGTAGTGTGTAGTGTAGTGTATAGTGTAGTGTATAGTGTAGTGTAGTGTACAGTGTAGTGTAGTGTGTAGTGTAGTGTAGTGTGTAGTGTAGTGTGTAGTGTAGTGTGTAGTGGAGTGTGTAGTGTAGTGTGTAGTGTATAGTAGTGTAGTGTAGTGTGTAGTGTAGTGTGTAGTGTAGTGTGTAGTGTAGTGTATAGTGTAGTGTGTAGTGGAGTATGTAGTGTAGTGTATAGTGTAGTGTGTAGTGTAGTGTGTAGTGTAGTGTGTGGTGTGTAGTGTGGTGTGTAGTGTGGTGTGTAGTGTAGTGTGTAGTGTAGTGTAGTGTGTAGTGTATAGTGTAGTGTATAGTGTAGTGTAGTGTGTAGTGTATAGTGTAGTGTGTAGTGTATAGTGTAGTGTAGTGTATAGTGTAGTGTATAGTGTAGTGTGTAGTGTAGTGTGTAGTGTAGTGTATAGTGTAGTGTAGTGTGTAGTGTATAGTGTAGTGTATAGTGTAGTGTATAGTAGTGTAGTGTGTAGTGTAGTGTGTAGTAGTGTAGTGTGTAGTGGTGTGTAGTGTAGTGTAGTGGATTGTGTAGTAGTGTAGTGTATAGTAGTGTAGTGTGTAGTGTAGTGTGTAGTAGTTTAGTGTAGTGTATAGTGTAGTGCATAGTGTAGTGTATAGTGTAGTTGTGTACTGTGTAGTGTAGTGTATAGTGTAGTGTATAGTGTAGTGTGTAGTGTATAGTAGTGTAGTGTGTAGTGTATAGTGTAGTGTATAGTAGTGTAGTGTGTAGTAGTGTAGTGTGTAGTGGTGTGTAGTGTAGTGTGTAGTGTAGTGGATTGTGTAGTAGTGTAGTGTATAGTAGTGTAGTGTAGTGTGTAGTAGTTTAGTGTAGTGTATAGTGTAGTGTATAGTGTAGTGTATAGTGTAGTTGTGTAGTGTATAGTGTAGTGTATAGTGTAGTATGTAATGTGTAGTAGTGTAGTGTGTAGTGTATAGTAGTGTGTAGTGTATAGTGTAGTGTATAGTAGTGTAGTGTATAGTGTAGTGTTTAGTAGCGTAGTGTACAGTAGTGTATAGTGTAGTGTATAGTAGTGGATAGTGTAGTGTATAGTAGTGTATAATGTCGTGTATAGTATTGTAGTGTATAGTGTAGTATATAGTAGTATAGTGTAGTGTACAGTAGTGTATAGTGTAGTGTATAGTATTGTGTATAGTATTGTATATAGTAGTGTATAGTGTAGTGTATAGTCTTGTGTATAGTATTGAATATAGTAGTGTATAGTGTAGTGTATAGTCTTGTGTATAGTATTGCATATAGTAGTGTATAATTCTAGATTGGAAGCTTTCGTGACTGCAAGGATCCACACTATTTGGTTCCATTCGGTAAAGTCACGTAGTAGGTAAAAAATAAAGCAACGAAAAAATCACGACGTTTCAACCACAACACAAGCGGCCTTCATCAGGTGAAGGGACCGTACTGTCACGAAGACAGCGTTGGAATCAAAAAAGTCAAGCCAGGTCGCGTCCTTTAAGCTGTGTGGGAGGAAACCACACGCTTTGACAAAGTAATCAGCATAAAGTGCTGATAGAACACTTAAAGTGCTGATGGAACACTTAACACGGGGGAGGGGAATTTGACAATGCAAACGTTGTTTTGAATTGGAATAAAGAAGGTCAAGCCATGTCGCGTCCTTTAAGCTGTGTGGGAGGAAACCAAACGCTTTGAGTCTCTGTGTGAGTCTCTGTGAGTCTCTGTGAGTCTCTGTGTGTCTCTGTGAGTCTCTGTGCGTGGTGAGTCTCTGTGTGTCTCTGTGTGTCTCTGTGAGTCTCTGTGTGTCTCTGTGAGTCTCTGTGAGTCTCTGTGTGTCTCTGTGTGTCTCTGTGAGTCTCTATGTGTCTCTGTGAGTCTCTGTGTGTCTGTGTGCGTGGTGAGTCTCTGGGAGTCTCTGTGTGTCTCTGTGAGTCTCTGTGTGTCTCTGTACGTGGTGAGTCTCTGGGTGTCTCTGTGTCTCTGTGTGTCTATGTGTGTGGTGTGTCTCTGTGTGTCTCTGTGAGCCTCTGTGTGTCTCTGTGTGTGGTGAGTCTCTGTGTGCGGTGAGTCTCTGTGAGTCTCTGTGTGTCTCTGTGAGTCTCTGTGAGTCTCTGTGTGTCTCTGTGAGTCTCTGTGTGTCTCTGTGTGTCTCTGTGAGTCTCTGTGAGTCTCTGTGTGTCTCTGTGTGTCTCTGTGCGTGGTGAATCTCTGGGTGTCTCTGTGTGTCTCTGTGAGTCTCTGTGTGTCTCTGTGTGTCTCTATGTGTCTCTGTGAGTCTCTGTGTGTGGTGTGTCTCTGTGTGTCTCTGTGTGTCTCTGTGAGTCTCTGTGTGTCTCTGTGTGTCTCTGTGCGTGGTGAGTCTCTGGGTGTCTCTGTGTGTCTCTGTGTGTCTCTGTGTGTCTCTGTGTGTGGTGAGTCTCTGTGAGTCTCTGTGTGTCTCTGTGTGTGGTGTGTCTCTGTGTGTCTCTGTGAGCCTCTGTGTGTCTCTGTGTGTGGTGAGTCTCTGTGTGCGGTGAGTCTCTGTGAGTCTCTGTGGGTCTCTGTGTGTCTCTGTGAGTCTCTGTGTGTCTCTGTGAGTCTCTGTGTCTCTCTGTGAGTCTCCGTGAGTCTCTGTGTCTCTCTGTGAGTCTCCGTGAGTCTCTGTGTCTCTCTGTGAGTCTCTGTGTCTCTCTGTGTGGGTCTCTGTGTGTGGTGAGTCTCTGTGAGTCTCTGTGAGTCTCTGTGTGTCTCTGTGAGTCTCTGTGTGTCTCTGTGAGTCTCTGTGTGTCTCTGTGTGTCTCTGTGTATGGTGAGTCTCTGTGAGTCTCTGTGTGCCTCTGTGTGTCTCTGTGTGTCTCTGTGCGTCTCTGTGTGTCTCTGTGAGTCTCTGTGTGTCTCTGTGAGTCTCTGTGTGTCTCTGTGTCTCTGTGAGTCTCTGTGAGTCTCTGTGTGTCTCTGTGTGTCTCTGTGTGTCTCTGTGAGTCTCTGTGTGTCTCTGTGAGTCTCTGTGTGTGGTGAGTCTCTGTGAGTCTCTGTGTGTCTCTGTGGGTCTCTGTGTGTCTCTGTTAGTCTCTGTGTGTCTCTGTGAGTCTCTGTGAGTCTCTGTGTGTCTCTGTGTCTCTGTGTGCCTCTGTGTGTCTCTGTGTGTCTCTGTGAGTCTCTGTGAGTCTCTGTGTGTCTCTGTGTGTCTCTGTGTGGGTCTCTGTGTGTGGTGAGTCTCTGTGAGTCTCTGTGTGTCTCTGTGGGTCTCTGTGTGTCTCTGTTAGTCTCTGTGTGTCTCTGTGAGTCTCTGTGAGTCTCTGTGTGTCTCTGTGAGTCTCTGTGTGTCTCTGTGTGTCTCTGTGAGTCTCTGTGTGTCTCTGTGAGTCTCTGTGTGTCTCTGTGAGTCTCTGTGAGTCTCCGTGTCTCTCTGTGTGTCTCTGTGAGTCTCTGTGTGTCTCTGTGAGTCTCCTTGAGTCTCTGTGAGTCTCTGTGAGTCTCCGTGAGTCTCTGTGTGTCTCCGTGAGTCTCTCTGAGTCTCCGTGTGTGTCTCTGTCTGTCTCTGTGAGTCTCTGTGTGTCTCTGTGAGCCTCTGTGAGGGTCTCTGTGTGTGGTGAGTCTCTGTGAGTCTCTGTGGGTCTCTGTGTGTCTCTGTTAGTCTCTGTATGTCTCTGTGAGTCTCTGTGAGTCTCTGTGTGTCTCTGTGCCTCTGTGTGTCTCTGTGTGTCTCTGTGAGTCTCTGTGTGGGTCTCTGTGTGTGGTGAGTCTCTGTGAGTCTCTGTGTGTCTCTG